ACTCACACACTGTTGGAAAAATTCCTGGAAAATATGCACACGGTACACTCTCTGCTCCACTCACATGCCTTCGGTGAAGTCATGGAGTTGAGTGTGTGTGCGGTTTTCTGATTAAGCGAAAGCACTAACACAAAAATTCAACTTAATTCGCTCCCGGGCCGAACCCGGACCCAACCAGGGACAGGTTAGTCCCGAATGTTTTGTCTGTTCTAGGGACAGAAAAATATAAAAATGGTTTCCCTAGACTCTGGAGATTATTTATCTACTCTTTGAAACTGACAAAAAAAATATCTGAAATTATTATAGATATTTTATTAAAAAAAAAATGTTTCAAAATTGTAATAGTTTAAGGTTATTTACTATTTGAGATTATCCTAAACTCTTCTCGACGAAAATCAAACTCAAGATGAAATATCTTAAAAGTATTAATGATTATTTTCTAAATATAATGGTTAATAGTCCAATTTGTAAATCTATTTTAGGCACAAGTTTTTATGAGTGTAGATATTTTTGACTGGGTTCGTTTAGGTTGGGGTTCCTTTTGTTTGCTCTAAGCTGAAATTATGGCCCTGAGAGCTCACAGAACTTTTGTAATCTCGAATTTGTATGGAATAACAGAACCATATGAGATTTGTTTTTGGTCAGGTCTTTGTGATGATATGATAATCGTATTATCTTGAGAGATGCCTACCAGAGTGATAAGGTCATTTACGGATAAGGTTTTTTAACTTATCTTAGACTTGATTCAGAAGTAGAATTTTTGAGGGAAAAAGATATGTAGATGCATATGGTTATGATCATTTATGAATAAGAAATCTAATTGTGAAACTAAAGATCCATACATAATATAAACAGTGAAGGCCTTACTCTTTCTAGACACAACTTGAGGTAGGTTTATATCTTCACATATAAAGTTAAATTTCACCTAAACTTTCCACATTCTTAGTTTTTACCTGCTTTAAACGGCTAGCTTAATTCTTAACTGAACAAAGTTGGCCATCAAGCTGGGGCTTTTATTTACCCGATACGGCAGCAACAAGGAGCTATAAATGTGATTGATTAAATTGTTTTAAATTTAGCGATTACCAAATCAGATAGGCAAGAGCTTGGGCGACCTTAGCGAGTACCTATAGTGGCGTCGATAGAGAACCAGAGAGAGCCCCTATATAAAATTCATTGATAAATTACTACGAACCACAAAATCAACACACTCGCACATGCACACACCCACCGCCCTCTCACAGATACAGATACAGGCACACACACACACCACACCAACTGGCTTATCTACAGAAGCGTTTGCAAAGTTGAAACGAAATGAAATTCTTAGAACAATCAAAAGCATTTCGTTCGCTTTTCCAGGGAAAAGCAAATATGTGAGATACGGTAAGCGTGGGTCTTTATAAGCAAGGTATGAGGGAGGGATTTTGTAGAGGCCTTAGATAAGAGCAGGAGCTAAGGTCAAGAGATATTATTATTATTATTCTTATTAATAATATTGGTCATAAGCAAACATTTCTTCGGATTTCACATTTCAGTTGTCAGATTTCGAAACTCGGGCACAAATAAACGCCATTTACATAAGCCAGACTTGAACTGGTTTTCGGTTTAGGTTGCTTTTGTTATAAACAATACATGGATATATTCGGAAAGATACTTTTTCAATGGCTTCTCCGTTTTTCGTTTGAAAAATATTTGATTTATCCATTGTTGACGGGGAGTACTTGAGCATTTTTTCGCAGGAACTCAAGCGTAAAAGATAATTGTGTTTATTGTATTTGGATATTTGCCAAGGTATACGGGTTTAAGTCATAATAATAATAAGAAAATATAAAAATACATAAAGCAATTTTTTAGAATTAAATTATTAAAATAAAATACAAAATTACACTGAAGTGCAGGTGTGAGAAAGTGAGAATAATAATTTAGAAATTCTGTAATAAAGGGAATACCGCATAAGTTAAGATTAAATTATAATTATATGAATATGGAAATTACTAATTAAAACAATTGCAATTTTTAAATTTAAAACGGAAATGGCTTTCGATATCGAGTATATAAAATTATATCGCATTCTGTTTGTTGATTCTCCATAATGCATTTTCAATGGAAATGCAGTTAGGTCAGAGTAACTGGCATGTGAATAACCTTGCGGAAACAATATGTAAGATCATGACAATCAACTTCTGTGTAAACAAGAAAGGAAGCTAACTTCGGCACGCCGAAGTTTGTATACCCTTGCAGATATTATTTCATTACATTTTACCTATACTTATTATGTTTACAGTTTGACAGTTACAGTTTTGCATTTCCAGCTTTACATTTTCCCTACATCTACCGATCGTTTATATGGCAGCTATATGATATAGTTGTCCGATTTTTTTGAAATTTATACCAAAATTCTAGAATAATAAAATAAGCTTATATCCCGGAGTAGATGAAAATACGTTGAAAAACAACGAAGTTATAATTTTATTCCTATTAATTTCCCGATCGTTCCAATGGCAGCTATATGATATAGTCGTCCGATTTTCATAAAATTTTTACCAAAACTCCGAAATAATATAAAATGGCCATATCTAAAAAATGGTGCAAAAATATTAAAAAACAGCAAAGTTATAATTATTTTTCTAAAAATATATCGAACATTTGTATGGGAGCTATATGATATAGTCGTCCGATCCGGCCCGTTCCGACATATATAGCAGTGAGAGCATATAGAAGACTATATGCAAAGTTTCATTGAGATAGCTTTAAAACTGAGGGACTAGTTTGCGTAGAAACGGACAGACGGACAGACGGACAGACGGACATGGCTAGATCGACTCGGCTGTTGATGCTGATCAAGAATATATATACTTTATAGGGTCGGAAACGTCTCCTTCACTGCGTTGCAAACTTCTGACTGAAATTATAATACCCTGCAAGGGTATAAAAATAACAATAAGATTAGATAGTAATTCTGGGGAATCCGCGCTGACAAGTGTAACTTGTGGCAGCACTTTTATGGCTTAATAACTGTAAATACACAGCAATATGTGTGTTTTTTCCATTAATTGCAATTCCGAATAAAACATCTTAGTTTGACCCGCTCTCCCCTTCTCTTCTCTCTTCTCCCTTTTGTAGGCCCACTCGAGATCCACTCTCGCAGTTACACACACACACACAATTGAGTGTTTTGCCCACATTTCACTTTTGGCATTGCGTTTCAATTGAACAAATTCACGCGAACAATTAACAATAAACGAACAAAATCAAATTTCCAGCGAAAAATCTCAACAGAAAAAAAGAAAAGAAACCAACAATGGGATGAAAGAGCAGCAGACGGCTGAGGAGGAGAGGTTTTAGGGGTTGGGGGTGGCAGCTGAAGAAGAAGCAGGGCAATAGCCAATGGTTTACCTATGATTATTTTGTGAGCCAGAGCGAGAGAGAAATCGCAGAGCAGCTGACTCTCTCACAGCGGGAGCATTGTTGCTGGGCAGACAATTTGGCATTTGGCAAGATCGGCTCTCGCTCTACGAACAGCTGCCATCTCGTTTCGACTTGCGGAGAAGCCAATTAAGCGGCGTCTCTCACCTTCCGCTCCCACCACCTGGCCCACAACACACGAACGAACACTGCACTTATCCTGTTCGAAACAGTTTCACGTGAAAAGCTATTAAAAAAAATTGAAAACGCTCTCAAGTTTAATACGAAAATTCAAGGAAATGAGCGGAAGATGGTAAAAGCGGGTTTTACCCAGAATAATCAAAAAAGTGCACACACATACTCGCACAGAAAGGAACGCAGACAAGCGGCAACAACAATTTGACGCATTACAAACGAAGTTAATAACACCTTTTCTTATGAAGGGTACAAGAACAACAACAACAACGTTGATGTTCCGATATACCCCGCTCACCCTGGCTCTTTGTACCAGTTGTTGTTGTACGGCTTCGGCCGAATTTAGCGGCTACACCTTTATACACCTTTAGCAAGAAGCCACGGCCAGCAAGCCCAACTAGCAGCAACCGGGTCTCTGCACTAGTATTGGTTTTGGTATGGGTAAAAAGTGGGAGAGGGAGAGAGCGCTGCCAGTACAGTGAATACTGAACGATTAAGAAAGGAATCAAAATATTTTAGTAATCAAAAAATAAAAAGAAAAATAATAAAAATTCATCAGACTATGGACATTTAAAAGTATTTGTTATGGTATGGTAAAAGTTTTCTAAAATAAACTATTTCCTCAAATAAATAAAATTTTAATTTAAAAATGTTTAAAAATATGTTGAATTTCTTCAAAATAAAGATAGTTTTGTATTAAGAGTTAAGTTTGAAAAGTAAATAAAATAAATAAAAGAAAACTCCACAACAAACGCAGCCAATATTTAATAATCAGTGATCTTAAATATATTAATATTTTTGCCGTGGGAAACTACATAAAGGAATGTTAAGCAGAACTTGCTGGCGAGTGCCTACTGTATCCGCATCTGCTCCGAATCTGCTGTGGCTGTAGCTGTATCTGTATGCGGGCCAACAGTATGTGTGTGTGTGGTGTTGTATCTGTGAGATACTCGCACTCACACTCGCTCCTATATCTTTGTATCTGCTGCTGCTGCTGCTGGCTCGCTTGGGCTGTCTGTCACTTCTCAGAAATCGGTCTAAATTAGAAAATGCGTTTCTGGGAATTTCGTATCGCTCTTTTGGGCCCACAGAGCGGCGCACAGTACACAGCGAGCGACGGCGCTACATAAATTTGTAAATATATATTTTTATGGATATATATGTATATATATGGTCGATTGCCCTAGCAATTCCCAGAATGAATTTTCAATGAATCAATGGAATTTGCACGACAATATTGTTTTACCTCACAAACATACAACCACAGCCGAGTGCAAATAAATAGCAAACGACAGCCTTAATGGGTTGTGGTTGCTGATGTTTCCCCTTTAATTTAAGCAAACACTGACATAAATATTTTATTCGCATTTTTGGCTATTTATTTATTTATTATTTACCTCTGATTTTCAATTTAATTTGCTGCTGTTTGCTATTTTCTCGGTATACTTTTACGCTAGTTGGCACTTTGTGCAAACTGTGTTTTAAGCATATTTCTTTTTTTTTTAGTTGGCAAGTATTTTCTTTATGATTTTTCTCTTGAATTTAACTTGTATTTTAATTTTGTTGTTGTTGCTGAGACGACACAGACACACACACGCACATACAGCTCACAGAGAAACACTGCACCTCACAGATACGCGCACGCTCGCTAATTGCACTCTTGGATATCAGGAAAGCTGGTGGCTGTGATTGCACTCGACGACCTCAACAACTGTGTGCGCGATTCCGTCAATTTGTGCAATTTCTCTCTCTCTCTCTCGACGACGACGGCGAAGCCACACACGTACGAAGAAGTTAATATCTTCTCCAAAATGTATCTGAGTATCTTTTTTTTCACGTCCGTTTCGGTCCGAACCATCAGTGTGACTGTCACGCTGAGGTTCAAATATGCTGCGGACTGGCAAAAGGTACTAAATATGCCAGGTGATCGAAAAATACTAGATTGTGCAACCAAGGTGAGGAACTTTGGTGGTAATCTGACCATGTACCAAACCGTATATACCAAAACTACTAAATTGTTGTAAGAGGTGAATTATGTACCGTTATTTGCAAATAATTTGTTTTATTTTACTCTTAAAAATAAACTTTAAATATTAAAAACTATATTTCCTTCACCTAAGAGTGTCGCAAAAAATTATATAGAAAAAAATTGAAAATAAATTTAAATCCCAATGCGTTTTTCCAATACAATCTCGTGTAAATACCCGCCAAAATTCAAAACTCGGCCGGATATCTAAACTAAGAACAATTATACATTCCGCAAACAGACGCAATCAAGATCGGACTGCCACCGTTAGGCTAATATTTGATCGTTTGCAAAATAAATACACTGATAACAGGCTAAATTATACAATAAATAATGGGGGCACATTTTGAGGAACTAATCTCAGCGGGCGACTGTCATGCGGCCGGTCCGCTGTCCAGATAATAAATAAATCCAAATGCATATCTTTCAAAGGCCAGATAGTGCCGTCTCCACAGATCCGACTTAGTCAGTGTCAAGCGGTCAGGCAGGCAATCAAGACGAGCTCGAGCTCTTCTCCCTCACTATCTCCAACGGCCGACCACTGCAGCCTAATTCAATTAAAATTAAAACGCAAATCTACGCAAGAGACTCGAGTGAAATTGCCCCAAATTCTCCGACAATTATAGGTCGCGCACCACTCTGACTATAATACATCCCAAAGTTCCGGTCATGCAATCGGATCCATCTTCCCTTGGCGCGGAATCCATAGCTATGCACCGCTCCACTTCAATGCCCGTGAAGCCCAAGCCGCTGGAGCAGAAGCCCCTGCTGCGATCCTCCGAAAAGGAGACGGTCAATGCGGCGGACTACTACCCAGAGAGTCCTGGCTATGTGCGTCGCAGGAAGTCCAAGACGACGGGGGATCAGCTGGAGACGCGCAGCGAGCAAAAGTGAGATTATAACCTTAATTAGGGAAACTAACAAAGACTAGAAAGAAATTTCAAGGTCTCCATAAAAGTAATTAATTAATTAAGACCAGTAAATGCTTAGGCAAGGTCTAAAAATAAATCCCTGGATATATAGTTATAGTTGTATAAGCTAAAAAATACAAGATTAAATAGTTTTTACTTTAATAATATGCCTAACTATCCCTCAGCTTCCCCTGCACCAACGACTGGGCAGGCAGTACCATTGAATTGACTCCAGAACCGGGAACATCTTCCTCCGATATCCAGCGACGCAGCCTGCACCGGGTGATGGAGAAGAATGGCAAGGAGAACGTTGTATTCCGCCGCATACCAGAAAAGTCTTGGCGTTATATGCGGGATCTGGTCACCACTCTGGTAAGATCCTGGTTTGGCCACAAGAAACCGTCATCATCTAGCAACGATCCATCGCGATCGGATGTGTATAGCATAACGCCCAGCATACAGCGAAAACTGGATGAGTTGGCCAACGAGCCGCCGCATCTGAGTCCTCATCTCGCCTCGAAGACTGATACCAGCCCAAGCGAGCGCGTTACGTTTAGCATTTAATCCTAACCCATTAATCGACGAGCCCATGACCACCACAGAAATACTCATACATAATTAATAAATACAAAAATTAACCAACTAAATCACTTGCATTGCTAAACTGGGAAGTCCTGGGATAAAACAAAGAGATCTTTCATTAACTGGAGCTTCCCCTTTTCGACTTGCGCAGATGGAACTGAATTGGAAATACATGCTGACCCTTTTCCTGGGCAGCTACTTTCTCTGCTGGCTGCTCTTCGCTGCCCTCTGCTATGTGGTTTCCTATTCGCATGGCGATTTCATCTTTGACCCCATCAGTGGAGCCAGAATGGGAGAGGGAGAGGACCCGTGCATCTATGGGGTAGGTAACTGGGTGGCCATGATCATCTATTCGGTGGAGACGCAGACCACTCTGGGTTTTGGCGAGAAGTATGCCAGCGAGGAGTGCCCGGAGACGGTTTTTCTGTTTGTCATGCAAATGTTGAGCGCCGCTCTGATCGAGGGAATTATGGTGAGCGTGATCTATGCCAAGACAGCTCGTCCGGCCAGGCAGATGACCAAGCTGAAGTTTAGCGATAAGGCGGTGGTAAGTGGACAACCATTTAGGGAGATGGGATTCGATGCTCTGAATAGTGATTATCTTTTCTGCAGATCTGTTATCGCGACGAGCAGCTGTGTTTGCTTTTCCGCGTGTGCGATCCCCGCGAGCAGCAGTCCATCGAGTCCAAGATACGCGTCTACATGATCGTAGACAAGCGGTGAGTCATTGGATCATTTTTGGGGATGTCTGATCTTTCGAGTTATCTTTATTGGGAGAGCTTAGTAAATAAGGATTGTGTCCGGGAGGCCTTTAAATATGAAATGTTTAACTGGGATAAATATGCTCAAAGTCTTAACTTTAATAACCGAATAATAATCTATTTATGATTAACTGAACTTCCTGGAAAACATTAATTTATTTAAGATATTCAGTAAATATTGTTATTAATATTTTATTTACTAGCTTCCTTATCAAGTTTTTGAGATCCCACAAGTGCAAGGAGACTCTGTAACCCATTAGTAACTCTTGACATATAATTTTTATCTCACTATCATTCTTATCTTTGCAGCACGCGCGAGGGTGAGGTCATAAAAACTCACACGGAACTGAAGCTGGAGGGAAATGGCGAGCAGATAATCGTCTGGCCCGATGTCGTCTGCCATGTCATCGACGAGACGAGTCCCCTGTATCAGTACACCAATGCCAAACTCTTTAATGCCGCTCAGTTTGAGCTGTATGTCTCCATTGTGGGCACATCGCCGGCCACTGCCCAGATGACAGAGGCCAAGACATCGTATTTGCCCAGGGAAATATTCTGGGGCCAGAGGTTCGTCAACATTATACACTACGATGCCCAGAACGAGCGGTATTTCGTGGACTATGAGAACTTCAACAGGACTATTTCGGTGGATATGCCCATTAAGTTGGCGACAACGAACGATCAGTTGAAATTGGAATACAGAAAGTAAAGGCTTCTATACTGGCTAGTAGCTACTAAAAGTCCGAAAAAAAACTCGAATTCGGGCTCAGAAAATTTCCTATACGTCATGTTTTTGAGATATTCCATCTTAAAAGTGAAAAAATTACTGGTTTTGTGCAATTTTGAGATGCTGTAAATTTAGTAAACTGTTTTTGAATTTCAAAGATATTAATAAATATTTATTTCTGTTGAGATTAGCTTTTCTTTTTAATTTTTAATATGCAATTTCTTAAATATAATTCAACTTCTTTCTATCATCTGTGGTTTTAACCTTCATTTCCTTAGTTGTTTTTACAAGAATCTTATTCCTTCAAAGCTTGCAATGTTTGAAAATCATTTTCTGGCGATATACAAATAACAAAAACTTTAAAAAAATAAAGAAAATAATTAAAACTTAACTTGTTCATTCGCCTCCGAATTCAGTTTCCTCCTGTTTTTTGTAGAATTTTAACTCTGCTCTCAGCATTTCATTATCCTGTTGCAGACGAGCAAACTCCCGCACAAAGTGATCGGCTCGCAGGAGATGGGCCAGGCCATCCCGTATGTCTTTCGTATTCTGCAGCTGTTGCTTCGAGTAGTTGGTCAACTGATTGACTATCTGGCGCTGGTTCCAGTTAGCTATGTACTCCAATTCACGTTCCATGCGTCCGCAGCGTTCGTCAACAAACTCCTTTAAATCGTTGAACTCCTTGCGCCAATCAGCGCCATCCATTTGGACAGCCGAAAGGCCGCTAGAGGATTTGGCCAGCAGTTGTTGAGGCTTCAAGTTGGGATTCGAGGATGATGGAGTGACATTGGCATGATGCGGTGTGCTATAACGGCTGGACGAAAGCAGGCGCAGCCTTTGCTTCATATCGGCGTCCACCGGAGGCGGAGGATTCTCCTTGTCGCTGCCAGCGCCTGGGCTGCTGACCACGGAACAATGTGACGACTGATCCTGCTCATCGGTCTCGGCAATCTTCATAAGCTTCACCTCGCCGGACAGGTTGCTGCGATCCTTAAGAGGACCGCTTAGGGTCTCTGGAAAAGTATAAAGTTTAAAAAAGTTTCTATACGGTTTACAGATATTCCCAACTTACGCTGCAGTGACTCCCCTGTGGTATTGTTGCACGAACTCTCAACCGAGCTGGATCCTCCTCCCACTGCTGCTGCATACATGCTTTGACGCTGGTTAGTCTCGTTCGGATTGGGCCTTCTGTTGAGGGTCTCCCAATCGAAGCTGTCCCTGTGGGAGGTGCTGAATCGCGTGGACATACGCTCCACTGCCCTTGGACCCTGAGCATCCAGGAAGTCACAGAACGAATCCCTTCGTGGACCAGTATTGACAGGTGTGACCATACCATAGCCCATGCTGGCCATGTTGTTCAGCTGCTGCTGTGTGTTTAGCAGATTTGCGGCTATGGATTTGCGCAGCTCATCGCTGTTGGCGCGCTCCACACGAGGAATATCCTGCGCCAGGCCACTTAATCCTCCTAAGTTATTCAGGCCACCGCTTTGGGGATTATCCTCGCTGGACAGTGGCACAAAAGCCACACGGGTCACAGCGCCATCGTGTACCCTCTTTACGGCCAAGGGTGCCTTTGTGCTCCTCATATCGTAGGCAATCAATTCACCCTTGAGAGTGCCGGCACAGAAGTAAGTGCCGCACTCACTGAGCGCCACCGTGGACAGCGGATGGAAGTAGCTCAGACGATCAGTTGAGGCCTGGGCCCTATTTTTTCGAATATCGAAGATATTGATCTTGGAGTCGTAGCCCACACTGACCAGCAGCGCGGGCTGGGATGAGCACATGCTGATGTCCCGGCAGGGAGCGCTGTGCGCCTCGCTGGCATGGAAAATCTTCCGCTTGCCCTGGACATCGTACACAGTCACGGCTCCCTTGTAGGAGGCAATTGAGAGCTGGAAGCGCTTGCTGGGATGAAAGCGTACCAGGGTGGAGCTGCAATGGCCATATGAGTTTGTATTTATACGATTTAAGATCAATCTAATCTGCCACCTACTCGCCATCGATGGTAAAGGTGTTCATCTTGAGCTTGGTCTTGGTGCCCAGGATATTGATGCTGCCGCCCTCGCGCACAGCTGCTATATATTCATCCGTGCTGTTGTAATCCATGTAAAGGACAGTACTGCGCTGCGGATCCGGGGGAAACCTGTGGATCAACTGTGCCGTCCTTATGTTGTAGATCTTGATACTGCCGCTCTGGCCCACGGCAATCTCTTCAAGCGTTTGCTTGGCACAGGCCACACAGTAGGCATTGTCGATGGTCAACTTGCGGACTCGCTGGATCTCGGGACCTGCTGTTAAGTGATTCAGGATTATAACCAATTTATTGCTAGCTTCCGTTATCCCAGCTTACTCTTCTCCTCATTCTCTTTTATCCGCATCACCGCCAAGCCCGCCATTTTATCCACCTCGACAAAGACGCGGCCCTGGCCATTGAACTGGAAGTCCCTCGGTTCACCGCCGGCGTGGGCATACTCCGACTTTGTCTCGAGGTCCGCAAAGTCGGAGAGCACTGTTTTCTTCGAGGTGGAAATCAAATGCATTTTGATCTTCAACTTATTAAATATTTTGAATTTGAATGACGGAATGCTAAATGATGGAGCTGGTGCAGTGTGCCCGCCGCTTTTTCCGTTAAAAATAACAGAAACAGGGAGCCAAAGCAATCGATTATTTTGGGGAAGCAATTGAGCTGTTTCCACTGCGTTCTAGCAGGACGACTGAATGATTGAAAATATCGCCGATGTTTCGCAATAGTTAGACGATATAGATACATATTTTCGACTAAAAATCGATGTCCAGCATTGAAACAAGGAAATATCATTTCAAATTAAAGTTAATCAATCCTTGAAAAATCGTTCAATTTTAACAATGTGATCCTATATTTGTAAATATGTTCTAGCTTCAAAAATTTTCAATTTAAATCCGCAAAGGTTTCGATTATAAACAAAACAAATAAGATAAATAGATTTTTCGCTGTTCCCTAGCTAATGCCATTGTCGCCGCAGTGTGAACGCGACGGTGAGTGTGGCCATTCACACACGATATCAATTCCGATAAGTTTTACTGGCAAAACGGCAAGAAGCAGAGCAGCGACCAATCACCTGCAAAAAAGAAATAAATTGCCGAGAAATGATAAAAAATATATAGTCCGTTTGTTTTGGAGTGCGTTGATATGAATCTGGCTCTTTAGCATTTAGTAACCACGCAACTCATTCCCCCAATATCCCTCCGCTGTAACGGGCAGAAGAGCCACTGGACAAAGGCCAGCTACAACACTAACACACACACACAAACCCACGTACATACGGCGTAGAAAGCAACAACAGCAACAACAAATACGAGGAACGGAGGCCATCATCACCTGCTGGAAAAATGGAGGCGGACGGACTAACAAACGACCAGACGGAGAAGGTGCTCCAGTTCCAGGATCTCACCGGCATCGAGGATATGAACGTGTGCCGCGACGTCCTGATCAGACACCAATGGGATCTCGAGGTACGGCTGCAAGCATATGTATGCACACGCACACAGTCGCGGTCGCGAGTGAAGAATGCACTTACAGTGACGGTCTGTCTTAAAAGTCATTCCTCACAATGTTTGGGAAATAATCCATTAAGGGATTTTTTTGATGTTTGTGCTGCTTTTAATCAGTAATTAAACGTCCCTTACAGGTGGCCTTCCAGGAGCAACTGAATATCCGCGAGGGCCGGCCCACCATGTTCGCCGCCTCCACAGACGTGCGAGCGCCCGCTGTGATCAACGACCGCTTCCTGCAGCAGGTGTTTTCCGCCAATATGCCCGGCGGACGGACAGTGAACCGGGTGCCCAGTGGCCCCATACCCCGCAGCTTCACCGGAATTCTGGGCTACGTGATCAATTTCGTGTTCCAGTACTTCTACTCCACGCTGACGAGCATTGTGAGCGCCTTTGTGAATTTGGGCGGTGGCAATGAGCCGCGCTTGGTCACGGACCCTCTTGGGGACGTGATGAAGTTCATCAGGGAGTACTACGAGCGGTATCCTGAGCACCCGGTCTTCTACCAGGGCACCTATGCCCAGGCCCTGAACGATGCTAAGCAGGAGCTGCGCTTCCTGATCGTCTATCTGCACAAGGATCCCGCCAAGAATCCCGATGTGGACTCATTCTGCCGCAACACACTCTCCTCCCGCTCGGTCATTGACTATATCAACACAAACACCCTGCTGTGGGGCTGCGATGTGGCCTCGCCGGAGGGCTACCGGGTGATGCAGTCCATTACGGTAAGAAGCTACCCGCTGATGGTGATGATCAGTCTACGGGCGAATCGCATGATGATCGTGGGACGTTTTGAGGGCGATTGCACGCCGGAGGAGCTGCTGCGTCGCTTCCAATCGGTGACGGCCGCCAATGAAGTGTGGCTGAGTCAAGCGCGTGCGGATCGTTTGGAGCGTAATTTCACACAGACACTGAGGCGGCAGCAGGACGAGGCCTACGAGCAGAGTTTGCTGGCGGACGAGGAGAAGGAGCGTCAGCGACAGAGGGAACGGGATGCGGTGCGGCAGGCGGAGGAGGCCGAGGAGCGGGCGCGACGAGATGTGGAGCTGCGCAAGGAGGAAATTGCTCGGCAAAAGATTGAGCTAGCCACGCTGGTGCCATCGGAGCCGCCAGTGGATACTCTGGGCGCTATTGCCGTTGTGTTTAAGCTGCCCAGTGGAACGCGACTCGAACGGCGCTTCAATCAGACGGATTCGGTGCAGGTAAGCTGCTTATTAAGTAACAAGAAATTCGAAATGCTCACATCTGTTCTTTTCCTCCAAAGGACGTTTATCACTTTTTGTTTTGCCATCCCGATTCGCCGGACGAGTTCGAAATCACAACGAATTTTCCCAAAAGGGTGCTATACTCGAAGGCTGATGTGGACGCCGCCGAGGGCGCCGCCAATGATGCACTGAACAAGACTCTCCATGACGTGGGACTCAAGAACCGCGAGGTGCTGTTCGTCAACGATCTGGAAGCGTAACCAAGCAAGCACCACCTACCAAATGTTAGAATCAAGCATCGTGTTACCAGCTGCAACGCATTACCAAAACTTGAACCAAGTTTTAAGTAGTCGAAGTCCAACAACGTCCAAGTCGGAGGATACACACAATGAAACTATTCCTAATTTAATCATCAATATTAATATAAATAATTGTTTAACAATGTTTAGGTTGATTCTCTCTTGTAATCTATGACCCCTGACACCTGCCACCACCCACCAACCACCCGATGCTCCCGCTAAGTAATGGTATTTTCCCACAACCACATTTCCGTAAACCGCAGATTTAGTTACTTTCTTTTCCCCTTCACATTTAAGCCATTTTGTTATGTTAGCTGTACTTATACTTCCGTCTATTTAATCGAAATAGAGCCAGAGTCTTATTGTTTGACAGAGTTTGAATATATAATATGAATGTGGTCGAGAATTGAATAAATTAAAGTTATGAAAATTCATTTGTAAGCAAACGGCGCTATAACATCCAGTACTAACTATTAGTAGTTTGGCTTAAATGTTGGATTGTTTTTTGGGAAAACGAACAAAAATATACAACACTGATTTATTACTTAAAATTGGAAAAATTTGAAATATTCTCTATTTTGAATAGTTAAATACCCACCCTTTAAAATGAACATTAATTCAGCCGGTTTCACAAATCTCCCTGCTCTATTAGAAAGGCTAAAATAATAAGAAATATTCCTTGAAGAAAAGTGATAATGGAAAATACATTTTGTCGCAATATTTAAGTAATTTCAGTAAAATGTTCTATAAAATATTTAGAATTTCTATAACTTCCTCTCAAAATAAGTTGTATGTAAAAATGCTGTGTAGTGGAAACATTTTATTACATCATGATGTGAAAACATCGATATATCGTTGCCGCAGCTATCTAAATAAAACCAGTCCAAGCTGGTCACACTGCATCGCTGACTAACATTGAGTTCGTGTAAAGAAAACGAAATATATATAAATTTACGCTGGAATTTCAGGGATCCGAGGAGTTTAGTGACCACGAAGACAGCTACGACTGGATTACCACTGACGAGCGGGCACGCCTGCTACCACAGAAGAGCGGGAAATCGGGAAACTCGGGCTTGCGGCCCAAAATACGCCAGTTGACTTCTAATCTGCTTAACTCGGAGGAGATCCGGAACGTTGCACGCGGCCTACGTCAACCCAGCTACCAAAAACTGTTCCCGTTGGAGAGGCAACCGAAGAGCACCCAGAAGTACGCAAAGACCATGTCGGCGGCACCCTCAACATCCTCCGTGGGCGATGCTGCGGCCGCCCTGTCCGGCAATCTTCAGCTGCCGCCGCTTCGCACCCTCGATGACTTCATCTTGGGCTCGGCCCGTTTCCAGCTGCCCAATCTCAAGGATTTCGAGAAGTGGGGCAACCGGGTGGTGAAGAATCTGTTGTACTATCAAACCAACTACTTTCTGCTCTTCCTCACCATTTACGTGGTGATGGTGGTCTTCAATCCGGCCAAGATCATCAGCGGTCTGCTGGTGCAGGCTCTGATCATAGCCGTGATCTGGCAGTTCTTCAGTGGCAAGTCAAAGTCCAATTTCATTGCCAGCCGATTGACGGGCGGCAATGCCAATGCTGCAGAGCAGAATGCCCAGCAAAAGTGGTACATCCTGGCTGGAGCCCTCCTTGGCGGTTACCTTTTCCTGCATCTGATCAGCGCTGTCCTGCTGACGGCCTTCACCCTGCTGCTGCCCATTTCGGTGACCTTCATTCACGCCTCCCTGCGTCTGCGCAACATTAAGAACAAGCTGGCCAACTCCATCGAGAGCTTTGGCCCTGCCACGCCCATGGGATCTCTGTTGGACGCCCTTAATGTCCGGGCCGATGGAGTATTTAATTAGGTGCTAGCACAGCCATTTGCCGTATGACGGAAATTGAGAAAATCACGTTTATATCCCTTATCCCTTGTCAATGTTGATCTTTGCAAAACAAAAAAAAACCCCCGTATTATAATCGATTTGATCTTTATTTTTGTATTGAACTATGATTTTATTACCAAAATGTACTCAGCTATAACGATTGTCAATAAAGTTTTCCCAGAAAATGCGCTTAAAAATCGGATAAAGTAAAGGGAAGAAATTGAATTTCTGAAATCAGTTTGTGAAGGCTTTGCAGGTAAATATGGATGACTAATTTATTGTCAGTAAGTAAATATTTACATATTTAGTTGCAATAAATGCATAGCACACGTCAGTAGCTCCTCCTTTTTACAAAATTTATATACAACGCCATGAAAACACTCAAATGTAATCAAAAGTAGTTTTAACTCTTTTAATAAATCGATAAAGATAATGATTAAAAATATGATTTGCTTTTGATTTCGATTCAAAGTTCCCTCGTTGATTTCTAGTGTTTATTATTTTATTTTTAGTTGTTCAGCGGATGCAGAGCTGGGGCAGCTGCGGCTGCAATTTCGGCGGCTGTGGGCGCATCATCCTTGCTGCCCGTCTGGGATAAATGTTTCACTAGGTCAACCCAATCCCAGCCACGTGCCCGGTCTCCCTTATGATCCGTTCGCTCCCATTGACGCCGCTTTTGCGCCTTGGTGAGCTGCTCCTTCTTGGGCTCCTTTTTCCCCGCCTCTGCATCGGCATCGGAAATCTTTAGCGCCACCACACCATCGTCCACGGCTTTTATGGTGGGTGCCGATTCAGGCTGTCCAGCGGTTAGTTGCTCCAGATTATCCTTGAGGCACTCGAATAAGGTGTAAGTCATGCCGCAGCCCAGCCATTGAGTGGCTTCCGTGTTCAGGGCGGCCTGGATCTCCTCCTTGACAGCGGGCAGTCTATGAAAAGAATTGAGATTAGATGGAGATCTTGACCAGGTTACACTGATTTCCGAGAAGACGTACAGATTCCTATTGTAGAATGTGTTCATATTGATCGTGGGTGCCTCGTCCGGATAGTTTTCGCCCCACTGCAGCTCCACCAGGAACGACTTGTAGTTGTCCTCTTCGCCATACTGAAATGGTTCGGATATAATTATTATTAGCTCGCCCCTCGCTTTGAATTTCGTCCATGTGGCGGCCTTACTTTATACTGAAAAGTGGTGCTGTTGATTTCCTTAAAGTTCGTATCGCCCTCGTAGATCGATTGTAACGCCTCCCGTTCGTCCGTCTGTTGCTCCAGAGGAGTGGACATTGTTAATGGTTTTAATATATATTAATTTAGCTTGGGGATTCGCTCATTTTCTGGCAAAAAATAACACAAAAATCATAAATGGTTTTGCAACAAAAACAAAAGCAACAACTTATCAGCTGGAAACCGGCTGTAGTGGGACCGTATTTTAAGCGGCAGCATTTATGCCTGTTTCCACTTGCTATCGAGGACTTACTTTACTAAAATATTTCTGTTCAGTCCATTAAATATAATATAAATAAATAATTAATTCATTTTAAGCTATTTTCTAGCAACAAAAACGATTACACTTTTAGGGAAGTCAGGTGAGAAAACAGTAAGCAAGTCCAGTGGAATCCTCCTAAATTCACCTGCTATCGTGAGAATCGATGACGATACTATCGAAGAAAGTCAGTTCCGAGAACAACATAAAAGAATGCAAACAATAACAACATAAAAACGCACAGAAAAAAAAACGGGCTAATGAATCATCATTGAGCAACAATTAACATTGATTAACACACATGATCGGCCGACGTCACGGGCAGTGAGAACAACAAGTGGCACACGCGACCGCGGAAATTATGTCAACAGATGCTGCTGATCCCGCCGCGGAATGTGCGCACCTGGTGGAATTCAAGCAATTCCTGGCCGCCATAGCAGAAAAGGCGGCTGCCGTAAGCGGTGAGGAGGTAACCGCCACCAGGAGTTGTGTAACCCGCGCCAGCAGCGACACATACAAAGTGTCCAGCGAGGAGCGTCATGCCGAATTGGTCTCGTCCATTTGGCAGCAGCTCAACTCCTGCGGCTGCCCGGAGGTCTTTCGGTTAAAGCTGCTTCACCGTTCTGCGCAACAGTTGGAGCAGGATCTCTGCTGCGCCAAGGAGTGTGAAATCAACTCCGAGGGGCCGCCACAGTACGATCTGCTCAAGCTGCAAAAGTTCGCCAGCGTTGAACTGGAGAAGTTCCTCCTGAAACTCACCGACAACGCGGCGATGGATCGCCTCAAGGACTACGCCGACGAGGGTGCCCTTTGTCTGGATCCGCGTAACTGCCTGTGCCAAGTAGGCAGGCCGCCGCTGCTGCACACATCCGCCGCTGTGAAGAACAAACCTAGGAAGATGGAGGATCGACATGTGTGCCTGGAGAGATTCGGTGAAATGTACCAGCTGCCGTGTAAGGAGTCGCGTTTCTTTGGAGTCTTTGATGGACACTCGGGCTCCCTGTCCGCCTGCTATGCCATCAGCCAGCTGCCCCAGCTGCTAGCGGATCAGCTAAAGGTGGACACGGACTGTGACTCCTGCTCGCCGGACTTCTATCGCAACGCCTTCGAGTCGGCGTTCCTGCTGGCGGACGAGCGCTTCACCCAGAAGAAGATCACTAGCGGCACGACCAGTGTGTGCGCTTTGATTGTCAAGGATCAGTTGTGCATCGCCTGGGTGGGTGATTCCAAGGCCCTGTTGGTGGGCAAGAGAACTCAGCTGCAGTTGGTGAAACCGCACAAACCGGAGAATCCCGACGAGCGAAAAAGAATTGAAAAAGCCGGCGGAACAGTGATCCATGCTCAGGGTCAGTGGCGCGTTAATGGCATCCTCAACGTGGCCCGTTCCATTGGGGACTACAGCCTGGAGGCGGTAATAGCAGAGCCGGACTTTGTGGATGTGCAACTAAACGAGGCCCACGACTTTCTGGTCCTCGGCACCGATGGCCTCTGGGATCATGTTACGGAAGCCCAAGTCATCGAAACCGTTTACGAGTCTCTGGCGGATTCCACAACGAAGCTGGACGACATTCCCAGGCTGCTAATAGAGGCGGCCAAGGAGGGAGATTCGCAGGATAACATAACGGCGGTTGTGGTGCTGCTCAAGCCGCGGGATCAGATCGGAAATGGTTAGGATTTTAAGAGCAAGCAGCGAATTTTGTTTGTTGTTACCCGCATTGGAGTGGGTTTTTCTTTATGTACAAAATCACTTGAAATTACAACGAATTTGAAGTTGAAAAGTAATCTTTAATTTAGTTTCCAACATATCAAAGGAGTAGGCTTTAAAGTGCCAAATATGTAAGAAGCTAATATGTATTAATTTTTTAGGTAATTGTTTTTAAAAGCATTTAAGTTTTGCCGTTTACAAGATATTCAGATACTTGAAATATATAAATTTATACAACGAACTAGAGTAAATAAGTAGTAAAGTAAATAAGTATTCTAAAAGATTACTTTTCAACTTTGAAATGTTTTTAAAGCACACACACAAACACACACGATGAACCCACTCTAAGTCGCACTGTTGTTTCGTTTACTAAATGATGTTTTTAAATGTAAATAGCTTAGAGATATGTCACATTCTTACGTGCCTGCTGTGGAGCTCCCAATTCCCCTGGAGTCCCCACTTGTTTGGGGGGTAGTGATGTAAGTCCGCGCTGACATAACACCTCTCGGAAATATGTCGTTTCTTGTTTGGCGGAAATATGTCTCTTGAGAACAATATAACTTCGCGGGCGGATTTATGTCGCTATGCCCTTGTTTGGTTGCTCGAATAAGCTCAATTTAACAAAATATATATTCGTTTTTGAGGTTGCTCAGCAGTTGAGAGGGATATACACAAGTTATAGGCAACTGTTGTTACAAACCGAATGATATAAATATACACAAAATCCACACGTACAACATTTATATATATATATTTTAGATTAGCAATGCAAGCGCATATATTTATACACACACATTGAAGTTGCTTCCAGCTGTACGATAATAAGCAATGCCAAGTAGGACTCTAGTTAACATACGTTTATATATTTACACCTGTAAACCGTATATATATTTAATAATGATCCCACACAGTTTAAGAAGTACCTTTTTATACAAATCTAATAACGAAAAAAACCCTTCATGCATTTTTATAAACAAAATACCATTTTTAAAGCCACGTTTTTTTTTATTGGAATAATAAAGATAATTCACACAAGTTGGAAACAGCCTTCAATCTCTAGCTGGGTGGCCCCAGATGTCGCTGCGGAGGAGGACCGTAGCCTGATGACGGCGGCGGGTACATGTGTGGTGGCATCATGGGTGGTACGGCATAGGGCATGGGGGGGTAGCCATAGTTGGGCACTGGGAAGTGCATCCCCGGCTGCGGTGGCTGCATATTAAAGTTAGCCGGCGGCTGATGATGGTAATTGTGGTAATAGTTGGAGTGCCAGCTGCCGGGATTATAGCTGGGATGATAGGTATACTGCTGGTCCATTGGCTGTTGCTGATGCCCATGATTCTGGTTCTGATCAGGTCTCTGTGCAATCTGAGGCCTCTGGTTTTGCCGGAAGCTCTCCCTTTGCCCGCGTCGTCCACGCTGCCGCGGAGGAGGCGCTGCCACTGAAGACGCCTCTGTGGCCGTGGTGGCCACCGAAGTGACCGTATCCACAGAGTCTGTGGAGTTGGTGCGATCCCGCTGGCGACGTTTTCGCTGCTCGTTTCTCGCCTCCCTTTCCTCCTCGTCATCGGAGTAGTCCACAAAACGGGCCGGTGGCTCCACATCGTGCTCCCACGAGGCATCCGACCCCTTGACCTGCATAAGTTTCGACAGTATCACGAACTGGGTATGCTCGGTCTTGGGCGCACAGTACACCACATCGCCGATTTTGATGCCTCTGTCCAATATCTGCTGGTTGCTGTTGAAACGGACACAGTAGAGCGGATCTGCCACCTGACCTAGCACATCGAACACCTCTCCAAGGACCTTGCGGCCCTTCTCCAGGAACAGAACGGTGTCCAGGTCGAACAGTTGGGAGTTGGGCAGCACAGAGACCAATACCAGTTGATCGACTATGGATTGAACCTTGCCCAGCTCAACGCACTCATCCTCCGGCACGGTGATCTCCAGCTGATGGATGGGCGGCAGCTCGTCGAGCAGCATTTCACCACGGACCTTGGGCGGTTGACGTCGTCTTGATTTATCACCGGTGGCTCCCTCCTCCTCGTCCTCGTCTTCCTCATCGCACTCCTCGGTGTTGATCCGCTTGTCTATCTTCTTACGCAGCACCGTAAGGTACTCGCCCTCCGAGTCGGAATCGGAGTCACTACTGCTGCTACTCTCCGAGCTGTCGCTTCCTGAGCAAACGGCCACCACTGGTCGACGATAGGCGGTGGAGGATGTGGCCGTGGGGTCGGTTACTGGAACTTCAACGACTTCATTGTCGCTGTCATGGGTGTGCACTTCCTCAACATCCGAATCCTCAGCGTCGGAACTGTAGGCGGCCAGAAGACTGAGACCAGTGGCAGAAGCAGCCTCTGGAGCGGGTTGCACTTGGGGAATTTGAATTTTAGAAGCTGGATTTAGCTGATTCTCTGTTGCAGTTTCTTTAGAGGGTGCTCCCGGAGCTGCAGCCATAGGGGATTCCTGTTCCTGTGCTGGAGTACCTACTCCTTCTGCTGCATCGCACTCCATCTGTTCCAACTGCTGAGACTCTTTGGGAGACTCAACAGATGTCGAGTTTGTTTCATTTTCACAAACCGAGGCGTCATTTATTTGTGCTCCCTGAACCGCAGATACTGACTCATTGGTCGATTTATCCTCCTTCGGTTTCTCCATTTCCACTGCAGTGTCTGAATCGAAACAATAAGCTCTTGATTGTTTATCAAACTAAAAGCACCGCTGGGAGCTTACCTGATTGGGGCGTTGTTTCCACCTTATCTGTTGATGGGATTGTAGGTCGGGGGTCTTCAATTAGAGCCGTGGCATTCACAGCCGGTGGCTGAGCAGTTTCCATTATCGAATCTCTATCAGGTTTAAGATTCAACGCTAAAAACAATTTGATTCGGAAGAAAAACGAAAAGTACACAACAAACACGTTGAAGCGCGCACGTGGTGTCGATAGAAACATCGATAGATCGATGTTTTGGGAAAATGAAAAACATCGATGTTTATTTCTGATCGGGGCGAATGGCAATATATCTATGGCGGGCTTAATTCAAAAATACTTGTATTTTGACTTTTAAAATGATATTTTTCAGGAGTTTCTCATACTTTGAACACCAAACGTCCTTCGTTCAACTATGATTGATGTGAAACTTTAACAAAATATTCTTAAGATATTGGGCCTTTATAAAAATGTATTACCTAACCTTCCCCATTTAAGAAGCCATTAAATCGCCTTCTTTTTATAAAATCGTGTTTATTTATTACTTGTTTTTATTTGAAATAATTTTTCCTGATGAGACGGTATGCACATAATCATTTTCATAAAGAACAAAATAATAAAATAAGGCTTAATTTTAAATTAAAAGTCTTTAAGAAGTCGTTTTCTTTTCATAAAATCGTGTTTATTAATTGGTTTCATTTAAAATCATTTTTGCTGGTGAGACGGTATGCACATAATTTATATATTGTATGTATATATTGCATTAATTGGAAAGCATTATGCCGTAAGCTTAAAATGGACGCCAAACTTATTCCATAGATATTCGAAGCAGGATAATTAACTTAATATTGCACGCCAAAAACTTTGTACATAAGAATTTGTATTAAGTATGCAGCAGTTCGTTGTGAGATTATTCCTTGATTACACTCTAAAAAGTACACATGGGCTCTCGAAATATCAAAATATCGATGCTTACATCATACAATAAGTCCTTACAAAATAGATTCTTTTGTGTTCAGATTCCCTTTTAGTCCTAGAGTAGCAGCTAGTAATTGAAATAATGTCATCGCTTGATAAATTCATGGGCAAAAAGCAGGGCTAAAATGTATCCTATTACAAACATTACTTTGTGCTAAGGCAGAGTTAGTTGGAAGATGTTTCACGAAGCTAAATCTAGGTAAATATCAATAGCACTTAGTCAATAGATCAATGTTTTCATGTGAGATATGTGTTGGAATGATAATGAAGTCCTGCGAATGAAATCAAGCAAGCAACTCAGGTCAAAGTCAAGCCTTCCTGCACCTACACCTTCCAGTCCAAACGGAACTCATCCACCAGCAACAAATGGTGATGGATCATCCAGCCTGTAAGATTTTCAAGGCATTAATACTACTGCACATCCGTGGGGATGCCAATAATTATTACCCTCCTGTTGGGCCAGCGTGAGGAACTCCTGCCACTTGGTCTGTATGTCCCAGTACTTCTCCTTAATCTGATTGCGATCCTGCAGATAGGACACCGCAAAGAAGTACGCCTTGAGCACATCCTGGGGACGCGTATCGAAGTGCAGATAGACGCCCAAACACTTTTTCGTCTCCGCTATGATGAAGTGCTCGTGGGGATCAAAGGAGGACACAATGTTGTCAATGACGCTGCTGCTCTTGTACTCATCAATTAGATTCTTTACGCTCAACCCCAGCTTGACGTTCAAGGACACAGACACGGTCTGGCCGATTGTGACTCGTTCCATGGCATTAACCTGGAAATATTGGAATTTGTTTAAGGATCTTTAGATATTCAAGGGACACTCACCTGCTGTGGACTTAGCATTCTCGAGGACCGGAAGAACTCCTCCAAGGCAATCAAATATCGCGACTCGTTGAATGTTCGCAGGCAAACCGCCCTTACCGCCTTGAGATTGGCATACAAATGCAGGCTGACCACCACGTAGAAGATGGTATACAACACCGTCTGGCTCTTGATCAGCGAGAGGAGGTAGAGGCCCACAAACGAGGCCACCAGGTTGACGCACGTCTCCTGCGAACTATCCTTAGAGGCCACATCAGCTAGATTTCCACGCAGGGCATGGTGTTGCGTTAGCGCTGCTCTCGTTGCTCCTCCTGCCACGCCCACAATCGCCTTTAGCAGAGTGGAGCCGCACAGGATTTGGGTGCTTAGATGCGGATACTTGGGAAGCACATAGATCTCAATGCCCATGGCCAGATCGTTGAGGAAATCCGCTCGCAGCCGCCACTTCTTCGAGTCCACGTCCAGCTGGGAGCCCTGCCACCAGGCGAAGAAGATGCGGCCCACATGGCCGCTGCCCTCCTTCAGGATCCAGGTGACTGTGGCGGAGTAAGCATTGATATTCTCGCTGCCCACGCCGATGCCTTTGAGGATGGCATGAGTGCACAGCGTCCCACAGATGGTGCTGCAGAAGGCCTGGGCAGTGTCCCAGACCTGATATGCCGCATAATCCTCGCTGACACTGTCCGGATAGCCCTTGGGCAGAAATATCTTTTGCAGCAGGCGGAAGAGCAGGAACTTCTCCTGGATGACTAGCTTATCGCCGCGCAGCGGTACCCTCACAATGTTGCTCTGATCTGAATGGGGAATATTAAAAAGTTTAATTTAATTCAAGCTTATTTTTTACTTGATTCTATTATTACTAATTAAAATAACAATTAACTTGGAACTCCTAGTCGCACAAAGTTTGGTCGAAATTATGTAGAAGCACCCTCAAGCTGTCATAGAAACAACGCTTTGTTGATTTACAAGATTCCCAAGAAACAACTAATTACAACTGACGGATTTAAAGATTATTATCCTTATTTCCCCCATATATCCTTGCGATTTACAAAACCTGATTTGATCGATTTGCTTACCTGCTGGCGTCACATACAGGATTTCCTCGCCCTTCGTGCCGTACTGTTCCCGAAAATGGATTTTCATCTTGGGCGCCTTCTCGGTGAGCTGGCAGAAATTAGGTTTTATTGCTTTTCCGGGGCTCGCTGGCTAGCAGCTATGTTGTTTTCCCTCCAAACTTGTCTGGGGGGAGAAAGCTCCACGCTCCACACTCCACCACCACCACCGCCGACAATGCCAATAACACCACCCACCTGGCACCCCACAGTTATTTATGTCCGACGACTGTCTGTCTCAGGCGATATGTGAAAAGCCGTGAAAATCCATCGAAATATCAGCGTCACAACAAAAACTTGAAGCGATTGGAAAACGCGGCGGTGTCAAGCGAACTCTAGGACATTTTACAAGCAAGCTGAGGGCTACGATAATTAAAAACTTGCAAACAAATTCTGGTTCAAAATAAATATACCCCAAAGAAATTTCCACTCCCTCTCTTTGTTATCAGTCAGCTGTGCATGTCCGCGTTTCGTAGTGAATGATGTTCCTCATTACCACGGTCACACTGAAGACGTAAAGGAAAAATACGTTAAAATTTGAAAAAAAAAAATTCCAAATGGGATTCTTTCTTCCTTATTTCATTAATCTAATTAATATTGACAAAGTAAATAACAAGGGTTAGTTCGATTTTGATTAGATTTTCGTAATGTTGTAAGCAGAATAAAAGTAACATTTGTGACACCCCATTAGTGTATAATTGAATAGATTGCTATACAATATAAGCCAATTTTGTCACTTTTACAGTTCTACAGATCGTTATTGGCAATAGTTTCTCTTCCCGAACATGGACTCAAATTCAAATAATTTACTGAGTCCGTCTCACTGTGAATGGTGCTACATTTGTGGTATTTCTGGTACAGCAGCAAACGGCCCTACCAATTGTCAAAGTTTATAAAAACGAACGGCCCGAAGGGTTCGGGCAGCAATTACAGCTCAAAAATCAAAGCAAAAACAAAGCGAAAAACATAAACATTTGTCAGTGACAGCAAACTACCTAAAAAAGCAAAAAAAATCCCTAGTGAAACAAGTTTGTAGGGGCAATAATAAGTGTCTAAATTTAACGTGTGACTCTCTGAAACTGAGTAAACTTTTGGCAGCCAAACTAGAAGAATCCACACAAAGCAGCAGCAGCAACAACAACTAGAGAGAATTCAGGCAATGTCATTGGAGGATCTCAAATCCCAGCTGCGCCGTTATCCAAAGCTTGTGGGCGGAGTGGGCGTGGGCCTGCTGACCGCGTAAGTAAATCCCAATCACGCCATAAAAACAAACCACAACAAATACCGTTATTCAAGCAGCTGCTACAGGTCGCACACACACAGCGAAAAAATAGAACCACCCATTAAAAGTTTGAAAAACATTACAAGAAAAACCCTGCCCTAATTATTTTGGGGGCTCGTCCCCCAACACGTTTCAAATGGCGCCACATGGCCTCTGAATAAATCGTACGATCTCTGAATATATATGTATATTTTTTTTTAGAATATACTATAACATGCAAAACATTAGCAACAAAAACAACAACAACAACAGATCTTGTTTTCCGCATTCTTTATACTAAACAGGCGTTGGCACCTGTGACGTCGTTTGTTTACAACAAATTACGCGATGATTAATCAAGCTATAGGCACAAATACTTATTTGGAAATGAGGCCACAAACTTAAAGATCTTTTTGTTTGTTTTTACCTGAAATAAAAGTTGATAACGACTGAGATTAACCAAGGAAATTCTGGAGAATTCGTTTTAGTTATAGATTATTATTAAATTAGGCGAAATCGTATGATTTTTTTTAATTAATTCCAAGGAAAATATGATTAATGAATTTTGCTTCCATTGATAAATATATAATAGTAATTTTAATTCCTAATGATTAATAAATAAAAAAAAGCTTAAAGAAGTTAGATTTAAATAAAAAAAAAATACATATGTAGGTCACATTTAAATTAAAATGGATTACAATTTTACTAATTAATTTTGATTTTATTTTTTGAATTGGATTCACTATTTTATTCAGTCAAAATATTTTGCTTTTTCATTTCGTTAGAGTATTAAATGAGTCACCTATAGCTGGCTCTTTTATTTTCTCTGCAAAACACGATCAAAACAAAACGTACGATTTTGTAAAAGTGAGATAGCAAGCTTTAGTGGCCGCGGAGTTGTTGTTTTTGCTTCCTTACTCTCTCGCTTCTTCTCGTTCGGCGTGTGCGTTAACAGCTGTTCAAGGCCCCAAAACGCATACACTTGCAAAAACGATGAGGTGTTGTTGGTGTGTTTGCCAAAACTATCATGGCGCCATATTAGTGCGCAGTTTAAATTTCGTTTTCGCGAACCCCCCGCGAATTTATAGTTCTCTCCTTATCGCCTGATGGGGATTCTCTTGCGCGTGTTGGGTTCTTTGGGGCTTTGTTTTTGTATTCGGAGGTGACGTGCCCACTTTTTTCAAAACAAACAACAACAAGTTTATCTCACGTTTATCTCAATAACAAATAGTTGGCAGCGATAATTGTTGTTGTTATTTAAGGTCAATAAAAAAGAAAAAAACTAGAACAACTTGGCTAAAAAAATACAAAACGGAAGTTCGTAAAAAAAGTGGGATTTTAACACTTAAAAGCTTGATAAGAAATAATCTTTAAGATTTTTAAAGATTTAAATTTTGTTTTAAAGACAATAAAATAAATAAAATATACATAAAACTTAAGCAAAAGTAAATTAAAGACTAAAATCTCTGAATTATATTTAAATTTAATGAAGTGATATATATAAATAAACATTTTTTGTACAGAACCAAAGCAAAATTACAAACAAAAATCTAAAAATAATTGTTTATTTCACTTTTATCCCAAAAACAAATTGTTGGCAACGGTAATTGTTTTGGTTCAAGAAAGATTATTAAACAACAACAACATCAACAACAACAACAACAACAAGTGTTATGTTAATAATAATATCGAGTACCTAAAAGCTTTGGTAACTCAACAAATATAAAAAAAATATAATATTAAAATAAAGGATACAAGTTTGCTTATATTATAATCTAATGGAAAACCTTCCCTTAACTTCCAAATTTCAGGGCTGGTTTCCTGCTGTACGAGTCGCCGCAGGTGCGCAGCATCCTCTCTCGCTATGTGGACACCAAGTCACCGGAGCCGGATAAGCGGCGCTCCGAGTACATCTACATCAAGTACCACATCTATCGCGAGTCCATGCGCAAGCTGATGCAGAAGCAGGAGGATGAGAAGAAATGGATCAATGTGATTATCAATCCAATTGGCAAGTGGTGGAAGGCGGCCAAGCATTCGGTGGCCTGGCGTCTTCTTAATATCGCCCAAAATGGCACCCAACCCGAGCGACTGAAGGCGGTGCAGCAGCTCGTCTGCATGGATCACCTCAAGGACTGGGATTTCCGGCATTTGGCACAAATTTGCGATGCCCGCACGGCTGTCTCTCTGGCCAGATGTGGCGCAGACACACGGTGGTTTATGCCCGTCCACCGACACGGTTGCATCAAGCATCCCAAGATGCTACTATCGGAGCTGCATGTGATGCTCAACCGGCTGCGACCCATGTCCTGTGTGGATCACTTCTTCAGCAAATACTTTCCCGAACAGGATCCAATTGTAAGAATTAAATTCTTTAACTAAAACTTTCTTTAAGCCCGAAAATTATTCTTGATTACAGGAGAACATCCACGAATACATGACCCAGGAGCAGACCATTGTTCTGTCCACGGCTGACACGGATTTACTCAAGGAAATCATCTCGTTCCTGCATCACATTAGCAAGGATCCCCAGGTCTCGGCGAATATAATTAAAGACGGCGGCCTCGTGCATCTCATGGAGCTGCGAAAGATATTCAGCGACGACAACGAGACCTTGTCTACACTCTGCAAAGTTCTGGCCAACATATCTGTGGTACCCAATGCCGTGGAGCACTTCTTTGCCACCGGCTGGATTGGAGTCCTGGCCGATTGGCAGCAGTGTCCGGATCTTCGCCTGCAAGTGATCTCGGCGAAAACCATGGCCAATCTGGATCACGATGATCCCAATCAGTGCACATATCCGCCGAATGTCTATCCACTGCATCCGCGTGTTCGCACCCGCAGGAAGCCCAAGGCGGACATTGTTTTTGTCCATGGACTTCTGGGTGGTGTGTTCATCACGTGGCGGCAGCGCGACAAGAAGCAGCCCACAGAGCTGGGTCTCTACGGCAAGAATGCCTTCTACACCAGCGAAGCGGATGATGTGTTCCTGGTGGGTGAGCAGAAGCGCCTGAATGGCGGCAAGCAGCGCAAGCAACCGGTTCCCCCACAAGCCGACGCCCAGACGGAAGCCATAAAAGGTAAACGAGAAGATGCCCTAGGTGTTTATTATCCTTCTAACCCTCGTTCTTTGTCCTTGCTGCAGATCCCGTCTTGAAGGCCAGCAAGAAAGTGGAGGAACGGCGTCTGAACATTAGCGATGATGCCACCAAAGAGTTTGTTGAGACGCTCAGAAACGCCGCCGAATTGGAATCCGATTGGGAGGTGGTCCATCCCGATGTGCCTCTCAATGCGAACGAGAACTGTGCTGGGGACTTCAGTGTGTCGGGCAACGAGTGGCACAACCAGGACACCAGCGATGAGTACACCAACTGCTGGCCCATGGAGTGGCTGCCGGATGACTATCCCGATTCCAGAATTATTGGAATCGATTATACGTCAGCGGTCACCGAGTGGTCGGCGAATTTCACGAAATACTGCCCGTGTGAGAAGGGTCAGGGTCACATCGATGTAAGGGCCACCACACTGCTGGAGAGGATCGTTGCCTCGGATGTGGGCAACGGCAGACCAATTGTCTGGATTGGACATTCCATGGGCGGCCTGCTCACCAAGCTGATGCTGCTCAAATCGGTGGACTCACAGGAGCCCAAGGTCCAACAGTTGGCTAAGAATACCAAGGGCATTGTGTTCCTGGGCACACCGCACAGGGGCTCACCCATTGCCAAGTGGAAGCAGCACATGCAGATGATACTCTCGCCCTCCATCGAGGTCAAGGAGATGGAGGAGAACTCGCCAAAACTGCTCGAGATGCACCGTCGCTTCATGGGCTGCCTGCACACTTTCCTGCGCGATGTCAAGGTCGTCAGCGTGGCCGAAGGAACGCCCACAATGCTTACCACATTCAAGTTTCCGCTGCGCATTGTCACGGAGGAATCCGCACGGATAGATTTCGGTGACTTCTATCTGATGAAGGATGACCACCTGAGCCTCTCCAAGCCAATCTACAGGCAATCATTCCTGTACCAGCGACTCCTGCATGTGATCCACGAGGCCGTCAGGGAGAGATCGGATCCAAGGAATCAGGATGCCCAGTCGCAGTCCGTTTCGAGTCAGGAAGTGGTATTCACCAACATTGTGGCCGCTCTGCTGAAGGGAGCCAAGGGCCTGTTCGAATCGCTGCCCATTGTCGCCCTCAGATTTAGCACTTAGGGAATGGGGCTCTCTTGAAGAGAAATCCCAAATACGCGCCTGTACCTTAATAGTATCCCAGCTTAGTCTCTAAGGACGTATGTTAAGTATTTAATCTCCACATCACACACAACCATGTCCAAATCCAAATGTATATTCTACGCTCGCAACCCATGTAGCTTCTTACGAACGAAATATCCTAATTTATTTACAAAAGTCAATGACAAAAAATGATTTAATAAAAACGTCCATATTTTCACTAAGGCATGACTTTTACGAGAGGTCCTACTGATACGGACGAGAATTTTGGGGGAGAGTTCCGTGAGAATGTTACTGAAATATTAATAAGATAAGTAACGCCATACCAAGTTTTTCAGTCTAACTATGGAATGTGTATTAGGCCTTGGTGGAAGGTTCACAATAAATTGCTGCTTTGAAGAGCATTTCTTGTCAACTGATGTAACTTTGTAACGACATCGAATATCGCAAAATTTTTTAAGGTTTAAGAAGCGTTTAATGGGTCAACCCATGATAGAGTTATAATTCTATCATGGCTCAACCCCCTTAAAATCAGCTGTCAAAAATCATTAATCGAATTTCAAATACCAAAGCTACTATATTCAAATCTTATGTACATTTTTGAATTATCTTTTATCTTTCCCTTTACTATAAAATATCTTAAATGCTATATATTTATTTTGCGTTTCTTAGCTGACATTTTCCTGCTGCTGCTTCTTAGCCTTCAGTCTCTCTTGTGCCAGCCGCCTGTTCTCTGCAATCCTGGCCATCTGTTCGTTGGATAGTTTCTTGGCCGAGGGCGTTGGAGGCTGCGAAGGCGGCAGTGGCTGGCCATAATCGCTGATGTCCAAGGAGGACAACCGAGCTGAACCCAAGGGAGCTCCGTTTCGGTCAAAGGTGGGAGCAGCATTTCCAGCGGCGGAGTAAGGCGTGGACATGACAGCATTGCCGCGAGAGAAGGAGGGAGTGACCAAAGTGCTGTTAGTGCCACAGCTAGAGGCCGTGGACATGCTCCTCTGATGGGGAGTGCGCGGTGGAGCCAGCTTGGACATGGCTATCTGTTCGCCCAGCAGGGCATCAAACTCATCGAAGGGCTCGTCACCGGCACCGCCATTCAGCTGGTCGTCCTGGGCTTCCTCCATGGCCTCCGCCTCGTGGGCTCGCATATCCTCCAGATGACCCAAACGATAGCGCGTCATGTGCACTTGCAGCGGCTTCTTTTTGCCCAGGCGCTCTATGTTGTTCAGCACATCGTCAAAGGTGTAGGTGGGATACATCCGATGCCCCCAATGCTGTAGACGACGGAGGATCTCGTCCAGATCAGTTTTTTCATGTCCTCGACCCCTGAACTTGATGTCTTTATAGTACTCCTCAATGGTCTGAATGCCGCGGGGACCACGCAGTGTTTCCACGGTGAGACGGGGCCGAGGATTCCGAACCGCTCGCTTCTTAGGCTCCACTTTCTCGCCCTTCTCTTCTCCGTTCTCTTCAGCATTATCATTGTTGTCCTCGTCGTCGGCAAAGAGCTTCTCGCCCTCGCCATCGCTGGGAAGCTGATCCTGGTCCATTGGCAGGTTGTCGTTAAATAGGTCGTCCACACCATCATCGCCAAATAAGGATGCCATGGTTAACAACTGGAGCAACAGAAATCGTCACAAAAACCTCGAAAAACAGAGAAACTCTAGTAAAATTTTGCCGCCATTTTCTGCTTCTTTCCAATTGCCATTCACATGCATCGCAGGCATAAGTTAGGGCTGCCAACCGACGAGCGACTGGAAATGGCTTTGTTCTTGCACTTTCCGATTACATAACTAATTGCAGGCCATTTTTCAAGGCTTAATTGAATAATTAAAAGCATAATTCCATGTGTGTGAGGAAAAAAAAGTTAAAAAAGTTCGGCTGCCCGGCGTTTGCAATGGTGGCAAAAGACGGTAGTGATGGGAGCGTGAATCGTGATCGATTTTCCAGGCACGAAAGAACGCAAAGAATATTTCATATTCACCATTAATTCTATTAAATCCTAGTTTTAACGAGATGAGGGCAAAACACCAATTACAAAATCTTTCTGAAACTAATTTAATTTAAATATAAAATATTAACATTATTACTTTATAATAATTATGTATTTTAGGCAAGTCCCTGTTTAATTAAAATTAAATTGTTCAAAATACATTTAGAATAAACATTTAATATAAGAAAGTTAAAATTTGTTAGTACAGTTGCGCTGAATAATTTTATTTACTTAGTGCTCGTGAGTCGCGTGCCCAAGAAAATGTCACGACCCACTGCCATCTCTAGCACGAAATGCAACCCTGCTCATTGCTGGCCTGGCAACGCCACCAAAACGCCATACTTCCAAGAGCATTTTTCGGGCGAGTTTACAATTTGCGGATAATCGTGGAAAAAGCGTTGAAAGAACGTGCGAACGCGACCCCCAAAACGAACCATAAAGTCCGGTGGCTAAATATGGTCACAACGTGCAATAGTAGCGCCACGCACACACCGCCAAGGACCTAAATTCTGGCAAAAAACGATGCTTTTGCTGTGAGAGGGCGAGAAAGAAAAATTAAGTGTGGTGGGAATCGGGATTCTACTTCTACGCATTGTATCGCACCGTATCAGCTGCCGAAAGCAGAGCAAGCGCGTCAAGCGTGGTGGTGGTGGTGATAGCGGAGCGCCAAGAAAGGCGCAGCAAACAAAACAAAACAAACGGAACAAGGCGGCGAACTATGAGATCTCAGGTCTGACGGCAGCTCAACTCTACTCGCCATGGACAAGCGATTCAAGTGGCCGCTCAACCAGAAGGCCAACTACTCGGATCCGCCCTATCACCACAATTCGTCAAGGGGCTACCCCAAGCATCCACACCAGCACCAGCAGCACCCCCACCCGCACTCTCACTCACATCCCCATCCGCACGCTGGTCCTGTCTATGCGCCGCACAACAAGACCAACTCAAGGCAGCAGCATGGCTATAGCTACCAGAAGGAAACTAGTCGCTATTACAAGCCACCACCGCCGCCGCAGGAGCGGCAGGAGCGTGGCTACCAGAAGGAAACCAGTAGCTACTACAAGCCACCACCGCCACCGCTGCCCCAAGAGCGTGGCGGCGGGGCAATGGCACCGCCCTCGTCGGGCGGAGCACCTAGCTCCGATGTAGTTACGCTCATTGTGGAGAACAACAATCTGAAGCGAATGATTATGCTGCACCTGAACCTCATGCAGGAGCAGACGGACAGTTTGGATGCCAAGGACAAGGAGCTGGACGAGCAGAATACCAAGCTGAGCCAGGTTTTGGTGCAGAATCAGGACTTGAAGCTGGCCAACGCCAAGCTGGAGGCCACCATCGAGGAGCTGCGCAAGCAGCTGCGAAAAAGAAACAAGCGGACGAACGACGACGACGATGATGATCACTCTTTGCCCCCGTCCGCCGGCCCGCTTCTCTTGCATGCCGAAACGCAGACTGAGCTTGTGAAGCACGCCCCCCAGCACATGCAACCAATGGGGGAGCCGCATCCGCAGCATGAGCAGCTGTCGAGGATCAGAATGGAGGTGGAGCAGGAGCTAGAAGAAGAGGAGCCGCAGTTGCCGCATAAAGCGGGTCACAAGGTTGCCGGCACCACGAATCTTCCTCCAGCCAGTAAGCCCATGGAGAGCAAAGCCCGCGGCGAGTTCAATGGCAAGAAGGTGAGCACTATTTTCCTGCATCGCGTGAATCAAGACTCCAGCCTTACGTCCTCGAAATACCATGTCCACGAGGAAATGCCGAGTCAAGCTGAGGAGGAAAATCAGCAGCAAAAGCTGGAAGAGGAGGAGCAATTACAGCTGCAGGAGAAGTTGGAGGCGGAGCACTTGGAGCACCAGCTGAAGACGGAGCACTTTCGGTTTGAACTGTCGCTCCAAGAGCAAGATCAGAGTGTCGTCGAGGAAGTCGTTGAGGAGGAGATATTTCACGATGCTCTGGAACCCCACGAGGTGGAAGTAGAGGTGGAGGTGGCATCCGAAACCATTGTGGGAGCAGAGGAGGAGGTTCTCGGCGAGGAGAATGCACCCTGCGTGGACGCCAATGGCCATATGGAGGATCAGGAGGACTCTGATGAAGATAGCGAGGAGGAGGCGGACTCGAGTGAGGAAGGGAGCAGTAGTGACGAAGAGGATGACCAGGAAGAGGAGGACGAAGAGTTTGTGGATAGTCCACTGGTTAACAACGTAGAGGCACTCTCAGCCCCAGAAGAGGATCTCTGGCCGAATCAGGTGAGTTTTTCGTTGAGATTTATCCATGAAATGATAATTTCAAGACAATCTCTTGCAGTTACCTCCCATGACTCCCATGGACTTGAACATGGTTGAAGAGAAGCCCATGGCGCCATCCGCTCACTCTACACCGAATCATAGACAGAAGCCGCTGTTGCAGGAAGAAGAGGTTGACAGCGAACCGGAGCAAGTGCAGGCGGAAGAGGATAGTCTAAAGAGACCAGATTTGGAGTCAGAAGATAGAGTTGAGAACGATATGCAGCTGGAGCTGGACTCGGTAGAGCAGATGGAGGTGGAAACCGTGGAGAGCTTCACAGAGGAAATTGTCAGAACAGAGACGGCCACAATGGAGGTCGAAATTCACACGGAGGAGGTGGTGACGATCAGCAGGCATGCCAAGGAGCCGCAACAGCAGCCTAAGGCAGCCAAGGAGCTTAAGGATGAAGGGATTATGGAGGCGGAGCCACTCAAGGAGCTGGATGAAGCACTCAAAGAGCAAGAAGAAGCGGTCCAGGAGCTGCAAAAGCCATCCAAGGAAAGAAAGGCCTCCAAGGAGCTGCAGGAAGCTTTGGAAAGGGGTAATAAAAAAGTCCCAACGCAGCAGCGGGTAGGTGTCAAAGAGCAGGAAACACCAAAGGAGCTTCTAAAAGCCTCCAAGGAGCTGAGAGAAGCCTCCAAAGAACGTAAAACTTCCAAGGAGCAGTGGGAGGCAGCCAAGGAGCATCGCATAGAATCCAAGGATCAGCGAAAAGCATCCAAGGAACGGAAGGCAACCAAGGAGCAGCATCAGACAGTAGTCAAGGGACAAGAAGAAACATCCAAGGATCTTCAAAGGGCCAAGGAAGTGGCGCTCAAAGCTGTGGCGCTCAAGGCGGTGGCACCCAAGACTGTGTCGAATGCACTGCCTCCCGCCTCCGCATCCACCCTTCCCAAGGCCAACTCAGCGGCTATTGTGGCGTCTCCCAAGGTTACAGGGGCAGCTGTGAATGCATCATCTCCCGCTAAAAATTTGACAAACATGACGAACTTTTTATCCGCCAAAACGCAAACGGAGCCAGTAAAAAAGCATCGTCTGCAAGTCAAGATCCGGCAGCACGGCATGTTCATTGACAAGAAGATCAGTAGCAGCTCCTCCTCCTCCTCCTCCTCGCCGGCGAAACCGGCTCCCTCGATTATCACCGATCATCGAGAGGACCAGGATACGCTGGAACCGCAGGTGAAGATCAAGAAGCTGACATTGCTCAATGATAAACCCATATCCCGGGATCAGGATCAGGACACAGACCCCGACACTGAGGAGACAATTGAGCAGCGCGGAGAGCGATTGCGCCTCCGGCTGCTGGAGCATCTAAACAAAGAGCAGCGCCGCCAGAGTCAGAGCATGAAGCAGAAGCCGAGCAAGGAGAGCGTTGCGACAAATCTGATCTTTCCGCCCACGGCGCCACCCACAATCACCCCAGCGCCGACGCCCACGACAACACCATCGTCAACGCCGGCATCTACGCCCCAGCCCACGCCCACATCCTCATCCTCCCAGGAGCCTATCGCCAGCCCTTCGACCAAGTCGAAATCCAAGACAACAACTACAGCAGCAGCAGCAGCAGCTCCACTGACCCCGCAATCCATAAGCAGCGTGAGCAGCAGTAATTCCTCATCGGCACCAACCAGAAAGACCAACAACAACTGTGCCCCGCACACGTACAGCAAGGCCACGGCGAGATCGGGCAGATCCAAGTCACGTTTCCGTACCGCCACCTTTCCGTACACGACGCGCTCGTGGGAGGATCAGGAGTTCCACTGCGACAACGAGTTTTTCTTGGAGGAGGCCGACGAGCTGCTGGCGGACAATCCCAGCCTAGAGATACCCAAATGGCGGGATGTGCCCGTAACGCCCAGTTCCGATAAACGGAAGACGGAACCGCTGAGCGATGCGGACTTTGAGCGACGTCACAGCAAGTATGTGAAGGACGAGATCGATCGTAAGTGCCGGGATGCGCGCTACATGAAGGAGCAAGTGCGAATCGAGAGCCTGCGCATGCGACACAACCAGGACGAGGTATTGGTCTCGCTGGATCCGCTGCCCACGTCCACATTCTACCCGCTGCCCGAGGACATTGAGGGTATTCAGTTCGTCACCGAGGTACCGGTTCAGGCCTTTGGCGAGAATATGGTCAATATGGAGGCAAGGGACGACTTTAGCCTGCCCTGGATCGATGCTCGCCAAGCGTTAACCTCCATTGCCAAGTCGAAGGCGCAGGCAGTGCCGGTGGCGACGTTGGCCAGCAAAAAGCTACCCACCACGCCGGCCGAGGCCAGGCATCAGGAGAAGAACTCCTCGTACGTGTTCCTGAAGCGGCGCAAGCGTCCAAGGCGACATTAGCCACCGAATGGGTTCACCAAGGGGAGCGTCTACTTCTAAGGGAGCTGAGCTGGATTGCAGGAGGGAGGCCGACGTTGCTTTTTTTGTTTTAATTTTTTTCTTATGCGAGGTACTATGGCTTGCGAAATATTTAAGAGAGCAGAGAGTAAAGGCTACCAGCCATCCTAGGGATCAGTGTCAATCCAGGACAGGCGATGTCGTATATAAATATCGTCCCGAGCAGTTGTCCGTCGTTAATGCAATCCAATGAAGGTGCAATAGTGATGATAAGCATATTGTTTTCCTTTTTAAACTAGAAATTTTGTTTTTTAAAATCCCAGAGAAGTAGCTTTCCTTACTTCATTTGTTTATTTGTATACTTTTTCGAGTATTTATGACTCGGTTTAAGCTTAAAGTAAATGTAGATGTTTCAAATTCACAAAATAATTTGTATTATTTTCTTTTTGTAAAGTTTTATTTATTTGAAATGTACCTTATCCTTAAAGAACCTCCTATATACATCAATTTTAAAATGACAAAGCCTAGAATTATCTAAATATAACTTGAAGCAACTGTAGAAATATATCCATCGCCTGTCCTTAAATTGAGATTGATTTTTTAATCAGAGGGTACACTCTAAAGAGTGTTCCCTTCCAGCTTGTTTCTCCTTTCAAAAATCTAAACCAATCGCTAAGTTAGATCCTTTAATACAACATCTCAGCTTTATCTGCTTTATCAACTTTAAGCCCGCACTAAAGTGATAAACAAAACCCAGCCAGGATATGTAATAATGGGCTGTTCCTTTGGCCTAACAAAATGAAATTCGTAGACTTTTATTTTTAAATATTTTTTTTCCTAGCTTGTATTATCCATAAATCTTTTTTTTTTTTGTCTTTATTTATACTATGTTATTGTCGTTCGTGCCGAGACGTCCTAAGCCCCCCAGGCGACAGCGTGTGTGTTACTCTCAGGTATAAATCTCTGATGATATTTTTTCTTTTTTTTTTCTTAATTTTTTTAATGTGTAAAATTGTTTGTGCGAGTGAGTTGGGTTGTCTGATGTGGGCCTAGAGGCGTCGGGACTTTATAAATGTATATTTAACATATTGTTTTATTTTATTAACTTCTTTTAAACCCTGCTTCATTTTGTACCAAAAAAAAGGAAAGAAAGAAGCGAAGAGACAGTCGTAACAAGATTTGCAAAATTAATAAACTTGATTGTAAACACTGTTGGCACCTTATATTATATACACACATATTCTGTTTCGACCTCCTGCTCTGTCTTTGCCCTGATAAGGAGGAGCGCGCACCGCCTGCCAGCGAGTCCGAGAGTGGCGTGGCGCCTTCAATTGTACATTTCAGTAGGTGTTAAGTCTAGTCTTAAGTAGTAAGCGGATAGATCGAGAGTCCACGAAAACCCTACGATGATACTTTGTATATTTGGCCAGCAGGATGTGCGGACCCTTTTACACCCATTCAATGTAATTAGCGTTAATTAGTTCAATTTAATGGCAGCTTCTTTAGCTGAGAGTATCGAGATTTGAAATTAATTGCCACCACTTGTAGTAGAGCCCAAAAAATAAGAGATCACCTACCCCTAAAAATCTAAATCTAAGCAAAGAAAATGTACTACATACAATGTATTTGTATTTGTTTAACAAGTTTTATTGTAAATGATAAAGATAATAATAATATATTGGATAAAGTAATATTTAAAACAAATGCAATCAGTATTTGGATTTGTAACATTTTTTTTTGTTATTTTCTGTACAGGAATAGGGAAAAATATGATGATATATCTGACCTAAATATCTGGTTTAAAGTTAAAAAATTGATTTCGAAAAAATTTAATTTAATTTATTTGTCTTTTTATCGACCAAAAATATCGATTTCGAAAAAATATCCTACAAATCTTATTTAATTTGTCTTTCTTTATAGATTTTATTAGTCCGATATATAAAAAAAACAATATCTATCGCACCGTTATAGTGTCTCATTAAATTTCAATACAGTATCGAAATATCAAGCTGCATTCCCTAAACAGGAGATATGTGGAAATTCTATTTATAATTGACAATTGGTTCTAGAATCGATTCCCAAACGGGCCTCCTTCGATTTTCTATTACAGATTTCTACATTTTTAATTACGTATCGAATTTTTAGCTGCACAGACACATACAAGACTTTTACATCCTTAAAAAACAGACATTTTATAATACTTATTACTTTCCTAATGAATAATCACATTATAATTTGATTGCTTGTTTTACCAGAAAATCGAAACAGACCCTAATATTTGATTTTATTTATTACTCTGCGTCAAGTACTGGTGACCAGTGGTCGCCCACAGCTCATCCACATTCTCCAGGCTCTCGCGCCACAGCTTCTGAAGCAGCGTCCAACCCTGCTCCTGGGTAACCAGCAGGTAGTCGTTATTCGGATGCAGTGTGTGCGTGTAGAGGCCCATGACCAAGCTCTGGACCAGTCGGGCGGCGACACAGTATTTGAGGAGGCCCAGCTCGGTGTTTCCTAGAGGAATGCCACTGGTATAGCCGGCCAAGAAGACTCCGCCGCTGGCCAGATCCTTGGCCTGGAGGATCATGTAGGTGAGGGCGATGCCCACCTCGAAGAGCAGCGGAGATTTGCTTGTGTCCCCGAAATCAATCACTCCCTTGATGGTGTAGTCGCCGCCGCTCTGCTCCACCACTATGTTCTGTTCGTTGAAGTCGCCGTGGATGATCTGGTGCTCCAGAGTGGGCAGCACACTCAGAACTTTACCCTCGAAGGCATCGATTACCTCCTCGCAGATCAGGCGGCGCTCCTCGTCCTTCACCGCATACAGGAACTGCCTCAAGTCCGGCACACTCTGAAGCATCCACATTGTTTTGTGTGTTTCGTAGGCCTGGTGGGTGAAGTTCTTCAGGGACCGATCCAATCTGGCCAAGTACTCGCCACTGCGGTATAGCAAATGCTTTGTAACGGGCGCCTGGTGGAAGATCTCTCCCGGAATGAATTCCAGGAGTCGCACCACATTCGAGTTGCCATTGAGACGCTCCACCGAATAGTACTTGCCGCTGGCATTGGCTATCGGTCGGGGACACTTGACACTCTGTTTTGCTAATAAATAAAAAATATTAAGTGTAATTCGAAGGAATGCGAGGTTTATTTACCCAAACTTAGCAGCAACTGATTCTGAGCATCCACAAAGTCCTCTTTCTTGGAGTCTAGCGAGTTGAGAATTTTCAGAACGTAGCCATTTGGACAATGGGTGACAATTAGAGGGTTCTTGACGTTGCTATAAGAAATGTTTTATAATTTTAATTAGCTTAATTTTAATTTTAATCATTTTAATTTTTAACGGTTTGCTTAAAGAAAACTTTATAAAAATAACAACAAAATTTCTGAAAATGATATTTCAAAAATAAGTATAATATTAATAAGGTTTAATTTTAGAATAAATAATAAACAGTTAATTACTTAATTATTTAAAATTTCAAAACTTTGAAAAGTCAGTGTTGGTAAACATCACATATAAGAAGTTCTGTGTGAATGGCATTTTGAGTTTCTTGGGCGTTGCAATCTTTGGTCACACTTCGACTATTTTTGGCGCTAAAAGCCGCAATTTTATTGATTGTTTTTCTGTGTTTTCCTATATGTTTTGATTGTTGTTAATATTTCTGCACCATGGGCATTACGGGCCTGATACCCTTCGTGGGCAAGGCCTCGTCGCCCTTGCAACTGAAGAACATCCGCGGCAGCACGGTGGCCGTGGACACCTATTGCTGGCTGCACAAGGGAGTTTTTGGCTGCGCCGAGAAGTTGGCTCGCGGCGAGGACACTGATATATACGTTCAGTACTGCCTCAAATACGTCCAGATGCTGCTCTCGTACGACATCAAGCCAATTCTGGTCTTCGACGGACAGCATTTGCCCGCCAAGGCCCTGACCGAGAAGCGGCGTCGGGAGTCGAGGAAGCAGAGCAAGGAGCGGGCGGCGGAACTTCTGCGACTGGGACGCATCGAGGAGGCCCGCTCCCACATGCGTCGGTGCGTGGACGTCACCCATGACATGGCACTGAGGTTGATTCGCGAGTGCCGCAGCCGGAATGTGGACTGCATTGTGGCTCCCTACGAAGCGGATGCCCAGATGGCTTGGCTCAATAAGATGGATGTGGCCCAGTACATCATCACCGAAGACTCGGATCTGACGCTCTTCGGCGCCAAGAAGATTATCTTCAAGCTGGATCTAAATGGCACTGGTCTGCTGGTGGAGGCGGACAAGCTGCACCTGGCCATGGGGTGTCGGGAGGAGAAGTATCACTTTGACAAGTTCCGGCGCATGTGCATCTTGTCCGGCTGCGACTACCTCGACTCATTGCCCGGCATTGGACTGGCTAAGGCCTGCAAATTCATACTCAAAACGGAACAGGACGACATGCGGATAGCACTGAAGAAGATACCAAGTGACCTCAACATGCGCAATCTGGAGGTGAGTAAAAAGTGGCGATTGTAGTTCCGTTTCCGTAACCTAAGAGCGTCCTTGTTTCTGCCAGGTGGACGACGACTACATTGAGAACTTCCTGAAGGCGGAGGCCACCTTTAAGCACATGTACATTTACAATCCTCTGGAGCGTCGCATGGAGCGACTTTGTCCACTGGAGGATTACGCCACCGATGAGCGCTATTGCAGCAATGCTGGTACCTTGCTGACGGATAGCGATCAGGCCCTGCACTTGGCTCTGGGCAATCTGAATCCCTTCTCGCTGAAGCGACTAGACAGCTGGACACCAGAGAAGGCAGCATCGGCGCCTTCGCCAAAGAATGTAAAGCAGGCCAAACACAAGAGCATTTGGGAGGGGAACTTCCAAAAGGACGAGTATCACCCAGCAGAAAAGAAGAAGGAGCAAGCTACCTGCGCCTTGTTCTTTAAAAAAGTGGACTTTGTGAGCAAGACCGTGGACGAGGAGATCGAGACGAATCAGCGTTTGGAGGAGGCGAAGAAAACGGAGGCTCAGGTATTTACCATGTATAGTTTTAAGGCAAAGCGAAGGCGGAGTCCCAGCAGGGAGGAATCTCTGGACAGAGAGGCAACACCGCCACCTTCTCCGATCCAGACACGAAGCCGACACAATCCCTTTGCCAAAGAGCGCTCTGCCCAAGATCCCCTCCAGCGATCGCCGGTGGTGTGCGAGAATGCCTCTCTGCTCCGTCTGCTCAGTCCCAAGAAGGCGAGTTCCTTGAGCGACGTAGCGGATGAGAAGCGAGTAAACTCCCTTAAAAGAAGTATTTTTGCCAAAGAGTCCGTTGAGGTGCGAAGTCGTTTCTTTGCCTCACAAGCTGAGCAACAGACCAGGCTGCCAAAGGAGCCACCAAGCCAACTGAAACAGGATAAAGACGAAGAGCAGAAACTCAGCTCAAGTTCTAACCATAAAAAGTTAAGACTTTCAAGGGAAAAAACTCAGGAGCGACAATCTTCCAAATCACCAGAGAGTGAGACAAAGACAGAAACTAAAGTCCAAGACAAGCCTGCCACGGAAGAGCCTGCCAATTTTCTGATAGAAACACCTAAAGGGAAAACTAGTACAAAAATAAGCCTGAAACCCCTCGATCTACTGGTAGAACCCACCGATTCGGACAGCAATAACAACGAGGCTATCATTCTGCTCTCCGATGACAGCTGCAGTTCCGAGTTAAACCCATCCAGCAGCCAGGAGACAGCCTCCTCTACCTCATCCTCTATGATTCTGGCACGCCAGAATTCCCTGCCAAGACGAAGACTGGGCCTCAGCAAGCCCTCATTGAAGGGAGGAACACCCAAGACCAAGACGAACGGCAAGCTGGGCGCCGTGAGCAATAATCAAACTAAGCTCAGCATGTTTGGCTTCCAGAAGAGACCTGTGCTCAAATAACTCGCCATTTTTAGACATTGTAACCGTAGATTAATCTAATTTATTAAAGTGAAGAAAAGAACTGAACTAAACTGATTGTATATCTGACTGCCATGAATCCATCAAGATAGCAATTGTGATGCTGGCAAGGTGACTACAGCCAGTTGCGTCACACTCAGCTGCTGCGACTAACAACTTTAATTAAACGGCTATAAATAGAGGCTGTGTGTGTGTGTGTGTGAGAGTATAACCCCACCCACCCATCGCATTTCTCCAGCCTCCGCGGGAGGCCTTTATCATTTGTTTTCGTGTTGCACAGCCATAATTGCGGTCAGAATAACAGAGAAGGGAGTTTAAGAATTTAAATAAATAAAATAATATGGTTAAGATAAAAAACAAATTGAATTTCTAAAAGGTAAACAACTTCAGTATAGATTTGCATGTTAAATACTTTATCACGATCTCAAATCATATCGAAGAAATAATAAAGTTCAAAGCTTAAAATTTGAAATATTTATAAAAATACGTATTTAACGTTAAAATATTAACTTAACCTTCCCTCCAAGCTATTATTCTGACCACAACTGTATGGTATATTTTATACTGTGACTCCAGATAAAGCTCCGGATGTGCTGCTGGGACAGAATAATGGTGTCAACTCAGTACTCCAATTGCTCGCTTACCTATCCTCCTTGACAAAGAAGTTGCGATCGTCGTAGGCGATGATTTCCTTGACCTCGCTTATCGTAATCCCGTAGAGGCGTCGCAGCAAACTCTCCACATCGTCGGGCTCCACTTTCGGCTTCACGTCAGATCCTGGCTGGAGAAGATCACTGCTGCTGTTTGGCGCTGCCTCTGCTGGTGGCTGCTTCTCCGAACTCGTCCCATTACCATTCGAGGATGGCTGCGTATTCTCCTTGTTCAACTTTGCGGCAGCATCGTAGTCATGATTCAGGGTATATGACTTTTTGGACATATTCGTCAGCTCCACATTGTTCCACTGCTCCATTTTTGGTCAAGGGGCTCGGGCTCGATCTCGGGTTATCTTACTGGAGACGCAAATCAAAAATAAAAACAAAGGCCAGAGACCCGAATGTAAACAAATGCCAATTAGAAGGAGAATTGAAGGCGAGGCGAGGTGTAAAATGTTTTCGGTTGCGCGTTCTCCAGTGGAATGAATTGTGTTTCACAGTTTCGGTTTTGAGTCTCAATTGAAACGAGTTCGTCGACGTCTTCTTCATATCTTATTCGCCAATGTGTGAGTGTGTCTGTACAATGAGTGTACAGTAAAGTGTGTGTAATTCAGAACGTTTAAGCTTTATTTTAAGCTTTGTAAATTGGGTTTAAAAAAAAAGTAGTTTGGATTTAGTGGAATTTTTTTTTAGATTAAATTGAAAAATATTCTTAGAAGCAATTTATACTTTATCTAAAACAAACAACAAACAAAACCTACACATTCCCAGCTCAAGGTTCGAGAATCATTGGGCTTTAGTAATATTTTACAAATTAAAACCTTATTAGTCGGTTCCCTTACGGAAGCTCCACTGTATCTGTTTTTTTTTTATTCACCTGTCCCGTGAGTTTAATTATGTGGGGGTGAGTGTGTGAGCCTCTGTCGCCACTTGCAGCAGCGTTAATTTGGATATTTGCTCAACTTCTTAAAGCCAGAGCCTCTGTTTGCATTTTGATTGTGATTTCAAAGCAGTGTGTTGCACTGCCCGACTTGTCTGTCTTTTCTTATTTACTTTTTTGTTATTTCTTTGCCTTGCCTTATCGGGGCAGCAAAGCAGCGGAGCCGCAGCAGTGATTGCCCAACCGTTGCAAAGCAAACTCTGTCAGTCGTGATCGGTTTTTATTAACGCTCCACATCAATTATAAAGAATCTCAATAAATCGAGCTCCGATTCGGCTGGATTACTAAAACTAATATGGGGAAAGCAGGGTCTCCACGCTGGGAAAAGCAAATAAATTTAAGCACAAATCAATACAACTGTCAATGGAAAGATTATAGAAAATAAATAACATGAACTATAAGTGGGCTGGTATTTCTAACAGTCTTTTTATGAGATTTGTGTCAAAGTTCTCCTGGCAAAAGATTAGATCTGATCTATTTTTTACCTATAATAAAAATTAAAAATTTGTGTAATTTTTTTAAGATTATTTATTATTTTTATTTAAATATTTAAAGCAGTTTTTGTGGACACAAAAAATACTGATATAAGCTTTAAATTTTCACGAAATCCTTTTACCAAAGAAATTAACGTTTTTTTTAAGCTGGAAGAAGATCGATCAAAGCTCGAATACTCGAAAATTCTCAGAATACTCGAAATCAAAAGCCAATTGTTGCCGTTTTTGTGACCTTGACTCAATTGCAGTTTATTGCTCATACGCAGCGTTGTACGTAATAACTACGATTTTCCATTTGCTGGGCTCACACACACACACACACAGTGGCACAACTATCACTCACACACGTACGTTAGCGGTAATTAAGATCCAAATATACAATATTATTGTTATGAATATGAAATACGCAAATATGCACAGCTGACTTCTAATCAGACTTATAAACAAATGTGCCGCAAAATAATACACACACGCACGCACACCAATTACATATGTATTTATATATATATATATATATATATATATAACCGCGTTTTTATTTTCCTTTGCACAACAAATAAACAACGCACTTGTGCCCAACTGGACTTGTCAAGCCGAAATGAAATGCGGTCGAGTCCGCTTACCTGAGCAACTGACACTGACCGTACACGTGCTCTTTAGCTGCTGCTTTATCTCACCTGTGTGCCGTTGATTGCGTAAACGTTGTAACTAAGTTTGATGGGAAAAATTGTTAAAAACTCGGGACAATAATAAAAGTAAAACGAACACATTCAAAAATTTAAAGAAATGTGCTGGCTCGTTGACGTGTGAATGGCGATTGTTTTTTATTTTTGCTTTCAGCCAGCAGCTGTTTTGTTATCGACACTTTTAGATAAAGTATTTCCAATACTTTGTGGCGGAAGTTTTTAAACTGGATTTTTTTCGTCGCTGAACAGATTGATAGGTTCATTTAAAACTAAAGACAAGTCTTCTTGGACAGCTCGATAAGTCTTAATAAAATAGAATAAATAAATTTTAAAAAATAACAGTAAAAACTAGCATTAATTAACATTTTTACACATAAACAAGCTCTATTAGACTTATTATTTTTCACTCAGCTGGAAAACTTGCAAAAAAATCAAAATAAATATAATATTAACAACTTACTATAATAAAGATAAAAAAAATGGTATCCGCCTTATAATAGAAATTCGAGGGCTTCTTCGATATTTTAACAAATTATTTTTCACTCATTAAAAACTATACATGTGTTTAAAAATAAAGAAAATAAAAGATATAAAAAAAATAATAATAATAATAAAATAGAGATCTGAGAGGTTGTCCCTCTAAAAGTATGTTTAAAGCTTGTAACAATGCCAAGGACTTACTGTACTGATCAAACTTTTTAAAATAAAAATAAAAATACTTTTAACTGGCTCCATTTGAAACTATAGACGCGTTGTTCGTTTTTAAATACATCGCTTTTTTCCCCCATCAGCGATTAGCATGAACCTCTGCTGCAACGATTCTCTTGGACAGCTCTCGGGCGTTTTATAAAAAATAAACAAAAATAAATAAAAAAAAGACCCAATAAAAAAATACCTATATGTATATAAAAACAAATATAAAACACAATTTCTTCTACTTAAGAAATAGAAATTCGAGGTCTTCTTCGCAGCGATTAGCATGCACCTCTGCTGCAACGATTCTCTTGGACAGCTCTCGGATGTTTTATAAGTAATAAAAACAAATAAAAATAAAAAAAAACGAATAAAAAATACATCTATGTATATAAAAACATATATTAAATATTAAAAACAATTTCCACACGCCTTATTATTTCTATTTAAGAAATAGAAATTCGAGGGCTTCTTCGGTATCTTAACAAAATAATTTTTCATTCATTAAAAAAAGAAAACATGTATTAAAAATAAATAAAAGAAAACAAATTAATATATTAAAAGGAGGAAAAACAAAGAAAATTAATAAATATCTGAGAATTTGTCCATCTAGGAAAATGTCCCAGAAAAAAAGAGTCCCGAGAAGTGCCGCAGGACGTGACCAAAGTCCAATGCAGTTTAAAGAAAACGATTCAGCAAATAAAAATTTAAAAAAAAACTAGAGTTTGTCTGCCCCCCTGAGGCGAGCCGACGAAATGAAATGTTGGGAGCTCTTGCCTGGCAAGGTAAATTTTTTTGGCCTACTACGACTAATACGATAGATATTGTTATCGATCAAAAATACATTTAAAATAATTTTGATATAATTTTAATTAATACATTTTCTTCCTTAAAAACTTGGCTAAAATAAAGGACATCCTATTATTTACCGCCAACATTCAAATTGTCTTTGTTTGGAACAGCTGTTTCTGATTCCGCTAGTGGTGATAGTAAAGCACGATATTCGAAAAAGGAAAATCTGGTTTCTTAATTAACTATTTTTGTATTAATCGATAAATATATAACGTGTTGCCGACATGTTTTTTACCCTTCTCGTTAATTTTATAATTGTTTTTCGTACTTTTTTTTTAGTTACAGGGTTACTTTTGTTCCGATTTTCTTGTATCAAACACTGTAGGCGATCTGGCAACGCCGTCTTTGGGCACAACATTTTAAAATTAAACGATTCTGAAAGCGTGGAAAAATATTTCCAAGCTTCTTGGACATTTTGATTTCCAAAATGTTGTGCATCGTTCTTAAAAATGGTAAAATGTTTACAAAATTGTTAACTGCAAACGTTGTTTTGGTGTGCCCAAAAATCTCTCCACTTTCGGAGACCGCCTACCGTGAACTATCGATACAGCTCGACACACCACTAGAAAAGAGAAAAATTGTAATTGTTTTTAAGCGAGTAAACCGAGAGAGAATCATATAATAGTGGAGATCAAAGCAGGCCAATCGCGTTGTGCCCATATGCGTGAAAAACTAGAAGGCTGCAACGGGAGCGAGTCCAAATGTCAAAAAACCCGAGTAAATCGAAGCGGTGCCACAAAAGTGAATAAATTGGGTGCGAATCGTTTTGGCACGAATAATGTCTGCATCGGTGGTATGCGTTCTGAGCTCGGACTCGGAGGAAGAGGTAAATTTCCCAGCGGGCCGGACGCTGTGTGTGTGAAAAAGTACAGTTGGATTTTAAATAGGCTTGCTGGCCGAGTGTGTGTGCGTTCACGTAGTGTGTGGAATTAATTTTTTTCGCGCTGCTTTTGTTGAGAGCGAGACACGACATGCACACCCACCCACACATATGCAGGTGTCGAGCAGTGCTGCCGGACGGTCCGAATGGAGACTTTGGGAGTCTTGCACCTGCATTGGCTTATCGTGAGCACTAATTACATTTAGCCCAGACGTACCAGCTTGTGGGGGTTTGGCGCTCATTCGCTGCTCTCCTCTCTCAGAGTTTGTGCTTGAGACGCAATTTGTCAGTGCTATTTCGGCCGAAATCAAAACAATTCTCCAAGCGCGCGCTCCCAAGTCTCCAAAAACCCCTCACACACACACACACACGCGCATACAGCGGGCCTCGGCGGTTTTGTTTGTTGATATTTTCATTCAAATTTAAAATGCACAGGGGCCAACAGGTCGCCACAAATGTGAACTAGTCATTTTGGGATAATGTGGCTTGCAATATTTTAATATTTTAAATGATTCAATATACATTCTAATATTTATTCAATATTAATATATTAACACTTTCCGAAGTCCCCACCCGGAGCAAAGCGTCGCCGTCTGGAGGATCCTCTGCGAGCTGTGGCATCCGTCAGACAAAGTTTGCCAGCCAAGCTTGTCAACATACCAAAAGCCTCACTGGGAGCCGGCGCAGTGACTTCTTACTTGCCACCACTTACCTGCGTTCCAACCGATCCCCTGCAATCCATGCACATCCCTAGTGGCATAACAGTAACCAAGCATCAAAAGAACAACACGACAACTAATGGAAATATCACCATTACTTTCACCGAGAACAATAACAACAACAACAACACGCACAGCTTTAACAACAATGTGAAGGCGAAGCAGATGAAGATGGGCGCTGCCCAGAAAGTGGCATGGTCGATGAGTAACAAGGCGCCTAGTCCAAATGCCCTGATAGCCACCGTGCCCAGTCACCAGGTGAAGGTTACACCCAATCCACAATACCGTGTAACACCCATTGGCAAAGTCACCAACCCACCGCCTTCGGTATTGGTGCCAAAAGCTATGCCAGCGAAGACTCAGCCGCCGGTTGGGTTAGGTCAGCAGCAACCAAATCAACAGCAGCAGAAGCCGATTATGCCTAGTTCAGGGAAAGCAAAAGCGCCAATGGGTATGCTGCAGCAGATACAGCATCACCAAAAGGTGCTCGCCGGGCAACTACAACCACAACAACAGCAGCAGAAGGGACTCGTGGCGCAAGTGCAGCAAAAGGCCTCTGTGGGTCAACAGCAGCAACAGAAAACGTTGGGAGTACAACTTCAACAGCAAAAGCCTGTGCAACTGGCACAACAACAGAAAACGGGAGTAGGAGCACAATATCAGCAGCAACCAAAGTCAATTATGGGTCAACAGCAACAGAAAACCATCCAGGTGCAAGTTAATCAGCAACAGCCAGCACCGAAAGTCTCACAGGTACAAATCCAGCAGCAGAAGCAGCCAACATCAAAGGCGCGAGGGCAACAGCAAAACCAGCAAGTGCCGAAGGCGATCCAAGTCGCACCGAAGCCCTCAGTCGTACAACCAAATAGATTGTCTTTGGAGCAACTGCAACAACAACAGCAATATAGAGCATACTTGGGACAACTCCAACAGCAGCAGCAGAGAGCGCCGATTGTTCAAGTACAACCACAGCAGCAGCAGCAGTTGCCACAAAATTTAATTGTAGGACAAGTACAGGGCCAACCGTTGGTTCCATTGGCGCAGCAGCATAAGAAGCTTCAACAGAAACCATTGCCGGCAGCTTCCAATCAACAGAAGACACAAATGGTCCAGCAATTACAAAGAGCGTTGATGGATCCACAGAATTCAAACAAGCCGCAGTCGCCTTTCCTTCCAAATGCCTCGCTGCCCATTGTCAACCAAATTACACACAAATCAATGACGATACAGAAACTCCCCATGGTGCAACCCACGACGACACCCAAGGTGACGTCCAAGGCTCCTCCTAAACAGATAATCCACCAACAGACGCCCCCGCCCGCTCATTTGGTCCAAAAAGTGACCCCACCGCCACCTGGAATGCTTCCAACTTCTGCCGCCTTTCCACAGAAGATCAATCCGCCGATTGTGCGACCCACGACGGTGGCCAAGATCACACCTGTGCCGCCCAACACTAGAGCAGCTAACATCCAAATAAGGCCACAAGCGTCGGGAAGTATCACCGCCTCACCAACAGGCTTGAGTGCCGCCCGCACTTTGCCTTTCAGGAGCACGAATCATAAGCCGGTAACACCTCCGCTGGCCTCTACACATCTGCAGGGATTCACAACGAGCGCTGCGCCACCGCAGCGACTGCTGGCAACACCTCCGCACTGTGCGGCCGCCTTAAATGAACCGTTGCTCCTCAACTTGCCACCCACTACTAGCATTACGCCCCAACTTACGCCGACGACTACACCACCTCCGGCGGCAATTTCGGCTGCAGTGCAGCATCAGCAGCTGGCCAAGGCGGCGGCCTTCAAGTTAAACTCCCTGCCCGGGGCCAGCATTTCGCCAGTGACGAGGCCTGGCGGTACTAAGCGTATTCAGCCCATAACCGTTCTCAAGAAATCCGACGACGAGTGGCAAAGGCATATGTTTGAGCAGCAGAAGCTGGAGCAAAGGCAGCGAGAACAGTTGGAGGCTAAAACCACGCCCACAATAGTCTTGGTGGAGTCGCCTCCAACGACGCCGCCCACAGAGAAAGTAGACACTGAGAGTAAGACTGGAAGTACCGAAGAAAAGCAGCAGCCGAACAAGACAATTCCCGGGGATAAAAAACGGAAAACTCCACCCAAATCAATATCCGTTGACCCAGTAATTGTGGACTTGGTTGATCTTCCAGATTCCCCGCCCGATAAGCGAAAGTCACTTGCAAAGGTAGCACCGAAAGAAAAGTCTAAGGAAGCATCGCAACCGGCTAGAGCGCCTTTCACGGCGGAGTACTCGGCTCTAATAAAGCTCTGCCTCGAAGTGGAGAAGACGTCGGAGATGCAGCGCTTGCTCCAAAGCAAGCTAACAAAGCACTACTACAGTGTCCACGAAAGCTTTGTGATGTCGCGTGGCTTCCGCAAGACGGTTCAAATGGCCATCATGCGTATCAAGAATGAGCCGGAAATCATGTACGTACACCTTAAGAACGTGATGGATGAGCTGAAAGCCCGACAGGTGGCGAGAATTAGAGAGAGGCCGCCATCTTCAGCAAGGAATTCCCCTACACCGAGATCGTCTACACCCAAGGAACGGAATATACAGGATGAGCAGCGGGTTCAGACCCCAGTGAGGGCGGAAGAGCAGGAAGCTGAAGAGGAAGTGGAGGAACTTGAATCGGAACCCGATTCCCCCACTGTTGACAAGCGACTAGCTGAGCGCATCCGAAAGCTCAATCATGCCCTGGCCACAATCAAGAAGCGGATCGAAATGCTGGAGGAGGCGGATGTAGACTGGAACGACGATGACTCCAGTTATCTGCAGGTGGAGCGTTACAAGAAGCGCGCTTGCCAAATATATGAGAAAATCTGTGATTTAACCGGCGAGAGCAAGAGCGCTCGCCGTCAGCTGAAGCAAGCCATAATATTTAAGGATTCTGCCTATCCGGACTTCAATCGCACACTGTCGGCCTTTGTGAACCGGATGCAGGAGTTCCCCGACTACCATGATGTGCTCCAGCTGCTGGAGCACTGCAACAAGGAAAAGGAGCTGGGGCTGGCCAACTTTGAGATGAAAAGGATAGGTATGCATACATAAGCTTCAAACGATTAAATATAATTTCACATAATTGAATGCCTTTCAGCTCACGACGCCTTCGACAAGGTGGGGCAATTGCTGCAGGCCCGACGAAAGACTGATCTTTACGAGACCGTTACACACTTCACCTCGAATATCAAGGATCCTGCTGCCAGCGATCCGGAGCTGATGGCCAAGCTGCAGGAGAACAACAAAAAGGCAACCAAAATAAGTGATGTCTTGGAAAAGTGAGCACAAATTGAGAGTGTCAGCACTATGTTAACGTTTCGCTCATTCGCAATGTTTGGAATTTAATTGTTGACAACAGAAGCCTGTTGCTTTTTTGCTGAACTATGTTCGTTCCCAATTAGCCCAGAGCTTAGAAGCGGGCATAGTGCTGATAATTCAATAATCGTTTCATAACTAATATTTGGGTTTCTTCTTAGATTCGCTCGTGAGCAGGATCTCAATACGGAGGAGCGTCAGGCACGCCTCAAGCAGAAGCAGGAAAAGGCCGCCGAAGAAGCTGCCAAGTTGGCCGCATTGGCAGAGGATGATGACAAACCCTGTACCAGTGCTCAGGCAGCGGCAAAGGCGGCAGCCGTCGCAGCCCTAATGAACGGATCAGCGAAAGGACATCAAAAGGAAGCTGGCTCCTCCAAGGACAATGATGACAACCCAGAGGAATCGGAGGATGAGACGGAGACGGAGGATGAAGAGGATGATGTGGACGCCTTTGTGGACAACTTCAAGGTCAATGGCGAGGTAAGCGATGTCGACTCCGAAGCTGAGGTGGAGGTAGTACCACCAGCGCCCGCCAATGAGGATGTGATAGATGTAACGAGAACCGAGACTGCGGCGGAGAAAGATGTCGAGGAACCGCCTAACGGCAAGCTGAAGATCATTTCTGTCTCTAGTCTAAACGCCAACTTCGTCCATGAGCAGAATCCTAGCTCCAAGCCGAGTGAAAAGCCTGTCATTGAAGCGGAGATTATTATTTCGGATGAGGAGCTATGAGAGGAGACGCCTCCACCTCCTCTTCCTCCCTCGCCTAGCCACACAGTACTTTAGTTTATTTATTAATTAATTTGTAAAATTATGCGTTACTAAGTGTGTATACTTTATAATTGTTTTTATGAAAACTCGGTATTGTAGGACGAAATGACTTGACTGAGCAAGAATCGCATGCAAAAGAGTAATCTTTGAGCGAGTTACAAAATATTTTTATATAGATTTCCTTAGAGATCGCATGTCTAGTAATTATTTCAATTTGACTTGAAGCCAAATGATACATTTATTATCCATTTTTTTCTTATTGGTATTTTAGTTCAAGTGCGTTCAAAGATTACTTTAGTCCCGTGTCAGATTCGTTTTTTCAGTTTCTCCAAGCCACGCTAATTTATTGCAGAGCCCGCACCCGTACCAGTAAGTCACAATATGCTAGTGTACATATGGTATACATACTTACTACTAGGCTAAGCTTGTTTTACAAAGTAAAATAACGATGAAATAACTGAACAACTGGGTTATTCATTCCGGATATTGCGCAAATACCGGGATATATCGGAGTCATCAATGGCCGTCTCTTCGATGATGTCGAAGTGATCGTACTTTTGAAACACCTTAAACGATGTCTGGAAGCCGGCATTCCTCAGAACCTCGCTAAAGCGCCGACTCTGCTCTATGAAGGTGACGCTGTCGTGCTCGGCGACCAATACGTAGATCCGCGTCGATCTCCAACCACCCACATCCGTGTACGACCATAGCATGGGCGACAGGCTCTCCGCTTTGCGCTCGTCGATGTCCAGAATGTTTTTGGGATTCACCGATTCCAAATTGTACAGCTCCCTCAAGTCGTACACGCCGCACATGAAGACCAGGGCCCAGCACATCTGGCTCCGCTGGGGACTGACCACCTCGGGTGAGTTGAGGATCCGGGACAGCAAATGAGCGCCGGCCGAGTGCCCGACGAATGTTATTTCCATAACTTGTGTGAGCTCGGCGTATCTGAAAATCCAGTCGAGGAAGCGAACGAACTCCGCCATTAGCTTTTCGAGGCTCACGGCGGGGCAAAGGTTGTAATCCATAACGGCCACACGGATTCCCTGTCGCACCAGTGGCCCCACGATGGAGCAGGAGTGGCTCTTGTCCAGCATCTGCCAGTAGCCGCCATGTACGAACACTAAAAGTGGACTGTGGACGGGTGTATTCTTGTCGGAGAAGACATCCACAACTCGGCGCCCTTCGCCATAGCGCAAGTTTTCCACGATGATGTTCCGATTCTCGGTCAAGTCCCTTTCATCTGCCAAGGCACGTTTTATTAATTTTGGTCCGGTTTTAAAGTTAATTAATTGCTCTTACGCTGTTGAGTTACTTTTATAAAATGCTCTACAACGGCCAAATTTGGTTCCGGCTCATTTTGAAACCTGGTAGTGTGATAACTAGGAAAATACTCCCGGTCAAGGTCCTGGCTTTTCGGATTGTACATTACTGATAAGAAACTGAAAAAACACTTGTTGAGTTCAAAATTAGGAGTAGTAATACAAAGGTGAGTGGGACCAGCAACAGCTTTTTTTGCAAATCGACCTTATTGCAGTCAATTGTAATGCAATATGGAAGCTTAGTTACTGGTAACTGGTCAAACCGGATAGCGCCCTTGTTTTAGTTAACTTTTAACGACTATTGAGCTTTTACTTTGAAATACTTACAAATATGTTCTGAAATAAGTCTTTGACGGCCTTTACAGCACTGGCTAGATGGTGAAAAAATTAAAGGTGGTCCGTTACTTTTTACAAGGGACTCTCAGAGCATCAATCGCTAGAAAGAGACAGCAATATCAGTATCTTACTCAAAAGAGATTCCTATATAAGATATTAATTCTATTTCAAGATAAGAATATATTATAAAATTTGAATAAATGACTCTTAACAAAAAAAAAGAAAAACGACGCCTTATATCCAACTCAACATATTAGAAAATTAAATTTTACAGAAATTTTAACTTCTTTTATTATAAAAAAAAAACCTAATCAACAAATTAGATTGTCGTTCCGCTCGCACTCACTAGATTGAGACCCTCTCTTTTGCACTCATTGTGATGATTAAGAGACCACCTTATTTGGCTACATCATGCACAGACTGTAATGCTGGATTTTAAAGTAATGCGCTACGGCCACACTTTGACAACTCGACGAAAAGCCAGCTCACCCAAAATAACAATTTCGATTTTTGTTTGCAATAAACCATTGAAATCATAAAATGAGCCGACAGCAAAACGAAGAGGACACGAACTCGGCGCTGTTCGACGCCCGCAATGAGTACTACGTCGGCAACTTCATGGGCTCGATCAACTTTGTGCTCCCGGAACAGGGAACGGCCGGATCGGAACTGCTGTCCTACATGTACCTCTCCTACTTGGCCATTGATTCCGGGCGCATTGTGGCTTCGGACATCAAGGAGAACAATTCCACACCCCTGCAGGCCCTGCGGCTGGTGCACGAGGCGTTCGAGCAGCCGTCCCGCACGGAGGAGCTGCTGGAGAAGCTCACCGACAAGGTGGCTGGCGATGAGGATGAGACCAACCTCTGGCACATTGCTACCGCGATTGTCTACTGCCACGACGGACAGTTCGAGAACGCCCTGAAAATCTTGCATGGATCTACGAATCTGGAGTCCATGGCCTTGTCCGTGCAGTGCCTGCTGCGCCTTCAGCGCGTGGACTTGGCCAAGCAGCTGGTGGCCAAGATGCAGGAGATCAGCGACGATGCCACGCTGACGCAGCTCGCCCAGGCGTGGGTAGCCCTCGCCCAGGGCACGGAACAGATGCAGGACGCCTTCCACATCTACCAGGAGTTCTGTGAGAAATTCAAGCCCACGCCGGCTTTGCTGAACGGCCAGGCGGTAGTTCATTTGGGTCTCGAGCGGTACGAGGAGGCGGATGCCGTCCTGCGCGAATCGCTGCTGAAGAAGCACAACGACTATGACACGCTCATCAACCTCATGGTGCTGGCCCATCTCACGGGCAAGCCGGCAGAGTCTGTCACCCGGAACCTGGAGCAGCTTCGCCAGTTTTACCCTAAGAGCGACTTTATCACCGATCTGGACAAGAAGTCGGCAGAGTTCGACCGCCTCTGTCTGCAATACGACATCGGCGGCGAGGAAAAGCTCCTAACCATCTAAGCACGAAATTCCAAACATCCATTTATCCAAACCTATGTTTATATGTTAAATTACAATAAAAATGTATTAGCAATGTACGAGGTAGTGGAGAGGACATCAGTAGCTGTAAAGAAAATGTAAAACTATAGTTAGTGGGACTCCTTTCGCGGCCAGCTCCTGCTAGATGCTTACTTTTGTTTGAAGCCATATTTCTTGCGTTCATAGAACAGATCAGTCTTGGAGCTACCCAGGTTTACGATCTTGGGGCATCCGTCGCGCTGCAAAATGAGAAGTGTTCGATTATCAGAAGAAACGTCCTGTTAAATTCGCTCTCAACTCACGTCCTTCTCCTGTATGGTGCAGGACTTGCAGTAGTATGCATCGGATACTCCGGGACCGCCGCAGATGACGCACCTGCCTTGATAGGAGCCGTAGTTGCACTCGTCGCAGATCCGGACAAGGGTGCAGGGCCGCACGTAGGAGTCGCAGATCACACATTTTCCGTCGTCTTTCTCGCACAGCCGTCCAATGGCTGCCGCATTGAAAGGAACCGCTTTAGAGACTGAATTATGCAGGTATTGTGTGAGAACTCACCCACGCCGGGTTGCTTGCGGCAGAAAATCAAGTCCGGATGATGCTTGGCCATGTTTTAATCGAGTTTTCCTTGATTTTTGAGGGGAAAACAATTTCTGGAAAAATGCTGCGGTTCTTTTGGTGCGACCGTTCGCGAAGTGTTTCCAGTGTGACCGCAGTCCGTCCGATACGATATACCAAATACCAACGTATACAGCCGAATGTCACTGCAATTTTTACCATTCACACCGATTCGTAAACAACAGCTGTTGACGTTTACAGGCGAATGCCCACTGCAATTTTCTGTATTCCGTGTTTTTGTTCCACTAAAAAGTGCAGGTTTAACTCCCCAAAATGCAACAGCGCAGCTAGAAAGTGTGGACCAACCAGTAAACATCCACTAGCGAAATGTCACAGGCGGCATCCACCACGCAGAGTGCGTCTGCTGCACCGGTGGGGGGCAGCAGACGCCCCATGGCCAACGATGTGGGCGTCATGGGCACCACCATGTCGGCCCGATACGGCGAGACCGAGTGGGAAGCGCGAGAGGTTTGTGGCGAACTTGATACCTCCAATCCGCACATGTAAAACTCTTCTCTTCCCCCAGTCCCAGCGGCAGCGGGAGTTGCATGAGGCTCGAGCCAGGGCGGCGCAGATGGAGAAGACCATGAAGTGGTGGTGAGTACGGCGCTACCGGCGAAAACGGTTTATCTCTTAATCACACAACCCTACGCCTTCCAGGTCCGACTGCACCGCCAACTGGCGAGAGAAGTGGAGTAAGGTATGGTTGCCATGGCTTCCCGTTGGGTCAATACCGCCGGTGTCCAATAACAAAACTTTTTCTCACTTTCCGCAGGTGCGTAACGAGCGGAACAAGGCCAGAGAAGAGTCCAAGCAGCTGAGCGTCAAACTGGACGTCGCCATGAAGGAGTCACACTCCCTGAAGCGGGAAAAGAACGATCTCGAGCTGCAGATCACACAGCTGAAGAAGGAGATGGAGAAGGTGCACACGCTGATGATGAAGCACGCCGGCCAGTTCCACCGTGCCGACACCAGCGAGGACGCGGAGGCCAATGGTCGCGACGCCAACTGTTCGCCGGACATTTCCTCGGATGGTCTGAAAAATATCAACAGCGAGGACGGTTTGGTCACAAAGCTGCCCAACGATGTCAAGGACCTGGACATTGAGGAGTTTGCTATGAAGGGCGCCATGCCCAAGCATCTGACGGAGTTGGATGAGGCAGCGGCTGCCGAAGAAAAGCGCCTGATTCAGCAGCTCTCCAAGGACGACTTCGACGAGGACTACTTGATGCAGAAAATATCCATGCTGCAATTGCGCCTCGACGAGGCGCAGAAAACACTTCAGGCGGAAAGGGAGTGAGTAAACATAGAGCTTTCCCGGTAATCCTTGTCTCAAATTCGATTTATTCGTTTAGTGAAAAGCTAGAGCTGCACAAGAGCATTGAAAAGCTATCGCTGGAGATCCAGGATGTGCGCGGCCGGCAGGAGGAGATGCGTTCCGCCAAGCAAGAGGCTGTGCGCGAGCTTCTAACACTGCAGGAGCAGCATCGCGCCGAGATGCGTATCGTTAACAACTCGTTGCAGGAGGAGATTGCTGCGCGTGAAAACTTGGAGCGCAGGCTTACAGAGCTGCGCACCGAGCTGGAGCATTTGCAGGCGGAGAATGCCTCGGAATGGGGCAAGCGCGAGCGCCTGGAATCCGAGAAGTTGGCCATGGAACGGGATAACAAGAAGCTGCGCGCCGAGCTGCGAGACTACCAAGAGCGTTCCGACCGCAAGTGCCGTCCCATGCAGGCAAACGACGTTGAGGTGCGAGCTCTGCAGCAGGAGCTCTCCGAGCGCAACAAGGAGATAAGTGAGGTGAAGATGTCGCACGCCAAGCTCAAAAAGCTGCTGGCCGAAACCAACACTGAACTGGGCCATGCCGTGCGCCGTGCGGAGCAGTATGAGGCGGAGGTGAGTTAATCCACAGCCCGAAACCTTATCGGATGATATATATGAAGCAGATTGCGCATATCAGCTTATCAGGTGAAGGAAACTGGGAGAGAGGAGACTAATCAAAGATTTCGACTGGCATTGGCCACCTAATTGGATTTAATTAAGACATTTATTCACAAAAACACGCGAACATCGAACAGTTTGGTAAATGCAAAGTTCTTCAGTGACACCCCTCCACCAAGTGGGGGAATCAGTTGGCAAAGGCCGCCAGTCCGGTGATGGCGCGACCCAGAATCAAGGCGTGTATGTCGTGTGTTCCCTCATAGGTGTTGACCGACTCCAGGTTCATCACATGCCTAATCACATGGTACTCATCACTGATGCCATTGCCGCCCAGCATATCCCTCATCTGTCGAGCAATGTCCAGGGACTTGCCGGTGTTGTTCCTCTTCAGCATCGATATCATCTCGGGTGTGTGCAATTTCTGGTCCTTAAGGCGTCCCAAGTGCAAACAGGCTTGAAGTCCCAAGGCGATCTCCGTGGTGGCATCGGCCAGCTTCTTCTGGATCAGCTGATTGGCGGCCAAGGGCCGTCCGAATTGCTTCCGGTCTAGGGTATATTGGCGGGCGATTTCTACACAGGCTTCGGCAGCACCCAAAGCGCCCCAGGCGATACCGTAGCGAGCATTGTTCAGACAGTTAAAGGGTCCACTGAAGCCAACAACATTGGGCAACAGCTGTTCCTCCGGCACTCGGATATCGTCCATGAGAATCATTCCCGTGGGCGAGGCGCGCAGAGAGAACTTGCCCTCAATCTTGGGCGTGTCTAATCCCTGGCCGGAGATCTTTCGGTCCACCAGGAAGCCGCGGAGCTTGCCATCTTCACACTTGGCCCAAACGACCAGGACATCAGCGATGGGAGCACTGGTAATCCATGTCTTGGATCCGCTTAGGATGTATGTCTTGCTTTTGCTGTCGTACTTGGCGCGGGTCTCCATGCCGCCGGGATCGCTGCCATGGTTGGGCTCAGTCAGTCCAAAGGCGCCTGGATAAAGTGATGAGAGTTATCGTTTACTTATTTGCTTATATTTTCTTGAGGAAATAGTAAAAAACCAGGGTCCTTTACGTAATACAGATGAAATTCTTAATTCCATGGTGTGGACCTACCAATTAGCTTGCCCTGCGCCATGCTGGGCAGATAGCGTTGCTTCTGCTCCTCGTTGCCATAGTCGTAAATGGCGCCCATGGCCAGCGAGCTTTGGACACTAACGGCAGACCGGTAGGCGGAGTCCACTCGTTCTACTTCGCGGGTGAGCAAACCGTAGGCTACACTGGAGACCCCAGCGCAACCGTATCCCTTCAGGGTGCAGCCAAGCACTCCCAGGCTGCCGATCTCCTCCATGATCTTCTTGTCGAACTGCTCCAGGCGGTTAGCCATTTTGACGCGCGGCAGAAGTTCCGCCTGGCAGTAGCCACGGAATGCATCCCGAATGGCCACCTCCTCCTCGGTCAATTGGCTCTCCAGGTTCAGGAGATCTTGCCAGTTGAACTTGGCCGCTGCTCCGGCCTTGGAGCTCGAGCTGGCCAGGCGGCGGGCGCAGGAACTCAGTCTGCTGATTACACTTTGCGCAATCATTTTCCTACAGTTTTGTGTGTTTCTGGTTTGCAAAAAGTCAGCCGGTTCTCCGCAGAACAGCTGCTCGGCACGACGTTCGACGAGAGAATGATGAAGAAAGCTCCCGGCCGCAGCGAGAGCCAAAGCTTTCGGCAGTCGATTCTCCTGCTGTTCTTTTCGTTCTTCTGGGTTTTTGTTTACCCGAAACAAAATATTGTTGTTCTGTTGCCCGCTGATCGTAATCTGTCCCTAGCGGCTCTAAATTTTTCGCATTATCGCATTTATTTGTGACTTGACGATAGAAACCAAGAGTGAAGGAAACTTTTCAAGTGTTATCGCAGCTTGGCGGGGGTCGGCTCTGCTTATCACTGGCACTGGGGGACAGAAGATACGCCCCATTTACTGCCATTAGTGCTTAGAGATGAGTGGGAAGATGCGGGATGGGGACAGCTCGAAGTCTTCGGGTGCAGTGAAAGATCTCGAAGCATAGGAATACCAGTTATGAGTTACCTTTGTAGCTATAAAAGGTTGTTGACAGTATTTATTACTGAGTTTAAAAGGAAGAATAAAGTTTCTATAATTAATAATAATTATTATATCTATAATTTATAATTTATAATTTCTAAATTATGTGGAATCTTCCGTGTTTCAGGTCAAACGCCTTCGCCAGCGTGTTGAGGAGCTGAAACGAGAGTTAGCTGGAGCTGAGGACGAGCTGGATTCGGCGGTGAACCAAGTGCGGCGATTACAGCGCTCCAATGACGAGCTTGTGGGCCAGACAGAAGGCCTCCAGATGCAGATTCAGCATCTACAGAATAGGTAAGCCCCTTCAAAATATATTTACAACTAAACCTATTAGAACTTTGAGCAAGTCTAACTTTAACTAATATTTCAATGGTGCTGGCTAACTATTAACTAACCCAACTCCTAACCCACTAAACACCAGACGTGCCCCGAGCCCACAGCTGCGGGGAATGGGCGGGGTGCAGCTCAGGAATAAAATAGCCGTGGAGCTGCCCAACGACTGTCTGCCGAACATTAACGACTTGCGTCAAATCTTCGATGACTCGCAGGCTGGCTTAAGGAGCTCCCACAATGGTAGCGATGCAGCGGCTCATCATGCTGCCTCCGTCAAGAGGTCAAGTCACACGGAGCGAACGCTTCTCCAGCAGCAGCAGAGCAGTTCTGCTGCCTCGGCGGCGGCGGCAGCTGCAGCAGCGGCGGCATTCTATGATGCCAAGCCCACGCATTTGGAGGAGAACATCTTCGAGTCAAAGTCGCGAAATCTAGAGTTTGAGCGGGCCAAGCAAAAGTTCGATAATCCCCACGGACAGCACCACCACCATCACCAGAGACAGCGATCCGGAAATGGGCGGTATGGGAGTGCTGGCAGCAATGCCAGCCGGGCGAATCTCGCTCTGCCGCTCAAGGGAATGACAAACGGCGGCAGCAGCAGCAACGCTTCCAGCAAGGATGAGCTAAACCGGCAGCTGTACGAGGCGCATGAGAAGGAGCAGTCGGCAGGGGTGGGCTATGCCAGGAACAGCATTAATCTTGATGGTCTCAAGGTATCCGATGATGAGGTGAGATTGTAGGCGGTGTAAATAATGTGCTTCCTTTTTATGGTTTGTTCTTCGTTATATTATTTATTTGTGTTAATCCGAAAAAGGTGAAATTTATATTTTGTTTATTAATTTACTTTGTTCTTTTCTCAATTTAATCATGTACAAAAATAATTCCTTAATTTTGTTTGCTTTTCAGACTCCGTAGCTATGGTTCGACAAGCTTGTTGCTGGACGATGAGACTGAGGGCAACAGCGATTGAGACCTAAAGATCCAAGACATTCGTGGGACGGACAGCTAATGGTATTACACATTTAGTATTCATTTGGAAATATGTACTTTAAAGTTGGTGGAGCATCAGAGTCCCAAATATGAACCATTATCCTAGCTTATATTTGGGGCTATTACCAACTGGTTCCTTAGTTGATTTGTAAGTACCTAAGTAACAACATTCGCGATTACGTATTTCAAAATCGAAAATAATTTATAACCTTATACAATTACTTACGTAAGCATTAAGATATGTTTAATTTTGCACCACTAATTCCCATCAAAAGATAAGCTTATATCTTGAACAATATTCCATTTAAGTTAAGGATAACTTCTCAAACTGCTTCATGAGTCTTTCTCATCATCCTCATCGAAAACCCTTTGCCTTGATTAAACAAATTAACAGACTTTACATCAGATATACCTACAAAACATATATACGTATTGAAGCATAATATACAGGTGTTCGATTGTTGCGGAATACAAAATTAGTGCCAGAGATCTATAGAAATTTTACGAGATTTAATAGGACATTAGCAATATGCTGCTGACCAAATTAAACGATTATCTTTGATCCTAGTCCGAATTTCTTTTATATTCTAAACATTTTTGGAAAACTTGTAGTTTTTTTTGGCAGCATATTCGATCTTATACAAAATACATGAAAACAAATTTAAAATACAAATATTTACGTATCAAAACATGGTAATCTTAGCGGTTTAGTTCGTGAATAATAATCATTTTTACTCTTATTTAAAACTACTTATATTAAATACACAAAATATGCAAATAAAGCTAGTATGTTACGAATATTAAGCAACCAAAGTTTGTATTGTTTGTCTCCGGAAGGGGAATCCGAGTTGGCTTTGGTTGGACCTTCACAGTAGCTAGAACCCGGCTCTCAGAAAAACGACACATTGAAAATTATTTTTAAATTTTTTGTCTTGTTACAAGTTTTGGAAAACAAAAAAATAAATTAATTTATAATCATGGTGCAATTATCGCGAGCAACCAAATTTACGGGCATCTGCGTATGCGTCTACGTGACCTACGTACTCTTCGTATTCATCCTGCTGCCCTCGTTGATGCCGGACGTTGTGACCTTGCAGCGGGCATTGGTGGCCTATAAAACGCGTCACCTGGGCAATTTGAGCAACTACACTTTAGAGACGGGGGGCCAGCCGCTTCGTTCAATGCTGGTCTCCTTCCGGGGCTCTGGAGCCCTCACTCTTCTGGACAACCTGGCCCACCAGCCTGGTTGCTACCAGCACTATGCTCCGCTGATTGCCTACCACAACCGCAGTACCGCGCACAAGCATCAGGCCCAGGTGCTGGACGAACTGGTGGCGTTGTACAATTGCAACTACAACAAGTCCTCGGAGATGATCCACTGGGGTATGCGATCGGCTATCTTCCGTCGTTTTTACGGGGCCCAGTCGAAAACCTGCCTGACACATAGCTTGGCCGACTGCTGGAATCCGGAGACCATGGCTGGGGTCTGCAAGCTGCATCCCTTCATCAATATGGCGGTATACAATATGAGGCTTGAGTACCTGGTCTCATTGCTGGAAAAGGAAGGGTAAGTGTAATATTTTTGGGGCCTCTTGGGTTACTCCTCCAATGGAATTCCGTAGGCTGAATCTGCGAATTCTGCTGCTGGTCCGCGATCCTCGTGGAACTATGTATTTGCGCAAGCAGCGCCAATGGTGTGTGGGCGAAGAGGACTGCGAGGCTGAGACTCTTTGCAAAGACATGGTCAGCGATCATAAGATAGCCGAGACATTGGTCAAGAATTATCCGCGACGCTTCGAGTATGTATCTTTATTTATGTATTACATGATCCATATCGAAGTGGTTCTCCCATATCCCAGAATCATTCGTTACGAAGATCTGCTGGAGCATCCCGAGGAGAGCATCAAGTTGGCCTTCGACTTCTACGGAATACCAATGGAGAGACCCAAGACCAAAACTCGCGGACTTCATTCCCGCAGTGAGCCAGTCGTTGAGTCGCTTGGTTGGGAACTGCCCTGGAAGTACTCGATCCAGCCAGCCTACGAGTGGATGCACAAAATGCCCTTGGCAGACATCCAGGCGGTCCAGAATGTCTGTACCGAGGCCATGGAGCTCTGGGACTATCGTATTATCCAGGACTTTGAGCACTTTTCAGCCGACACTTTTGAACCGTTTATGGGAAAGGCCTAAGTAAAGGTGTTTGGAACGTCGTTAGTATACATTTCTGGAGCGCAGTTTACTTACAAACCAACCATAACATCAATTTGTAACATTTAAGGGGTTTAAATTAACAAGAAAGTTTAACATTTATGGTACAATAGTTAGTGAGCACGCATCTTGTGAGCATAAGTTGATTAAATTAAGCATTTCTTTAGGGGAATTTGTTATTGTTTTGGTTTTTAATTGTGCGTTTATTTAAAATCTATTTTGGTTTAAATCAGACGGGTAAAAATGAATTACCGCATAAATTGATCGTTGCTAGAACAGAAGCTAAGATTAACAATAAAATAATTATTAACATTATTTTAAAAGTTAAAAGGACCGTTATAAAATAATAAACAAAAATTAAAAATCGCGCCGATTGTTTTTGCTTTCGATTTTCCTACATCTCCCTCGACATCGATAATGTATTTTATCGTTCAGATAACGGTCACACTTATTTTCAAGCTTTTTCCAATTAGACTAGGGGGAAATTTCAACTTGTGAGATTTTTTAGGAGGACAGTCAAAGATTAATCTGGTCACTTTATTGTTTTCAATCGTTTCATTCGGTCGGTCGCGTCGCGGAAAAACACCGCTCTGGAAAACAAAGATAATAATAATACGCGACATCTGCAGCGATCTCTGCGATGCTCTCGAGCTGAGGGCGCGGGCGATAACTATGTGCGTGTGGGAGCGACCCAGCGGGCCAGTAATGTGCAAGTGCTGAGCGGTGCCAAGTGCGTTGCGTTCGTTACATCGCCAATTAGTCATTACCATTAGCCATTGGCCATTGGCTAACCTATTGGGCAGTGGCCACCAGCAATTAGCCAGGAGCAGCGCCTCTCCTCGCCCCGTCCAATGAGCACAGCGGGCTCGGAGGCGGACGTGGACCTCGATCTGGACTTGGAGTCGTGCGCGCTGCTTAACGCAAAGGCGGAAGCGTCAAACGGACCCGGACCCGTCGATCCCGGCAGGACACGCGCTAAGCAGCGCATCAGCTTGAGCGGAAAGCGGCGACGCAGCCGAATGTCGCGCAGGGCCAATCTGATCGGCATCTGCGGCGTGAGCAGCCTGTGCATCCTGCTGCTGATCGCCACCACCCAGCACCGTCCGCTTACCACTCCGTTCAACCAGGCCGCTGGCCGGGATCAGGGTGCGGGAGCGGGTGCTGGTGGCGGCCCTGGCAACGCCTATGGCGTCGACGGGGGGCCGTCCAATTCCCTGGCGCGTAGCGCCTTCTACGACCGCTTCCAGCAGCAGTTGCAGCAGCAGCAGCCATCCCAAACGGCCGTCTACAATCTGACAGCTACTATAGTGGATGTCCTGTCGGCTCAACGGTCGCGCATCCTAACCGAGATGGAGAACTTCGAGTATCCGCGCGGCGGTGCCGAGCGCCTGGCAGACATGACGCCAGAGACGAACGGCACTCCGGTGCGCAGCGTGGTGGTCACATCGTGGCGCTCCGGCTCCACCTTCCTGGGCGATATACTCAATTCGATACCGGGTAACTTTTACCACTACGAACCCCTGCTGGACTTTGGCATCAAGCAGATCCGGGATCCGGACGACCAGGAGCTGGCCGTGCAAAATCTGAAGAACCTGCTCAATTGCGACTACGCCGACATGCTGGACTACTTGAACTTCGGCAAGACGCACACATATCTCTTCGAGCACAACACACGGCTGTGGGACGTCTGTCGGGAGTTTCCGCGCTTCTGCTGGCGGCCCGCGTTCCTCACGCGCTTCTGCCGCCTCTTCCCCATCCAGAGCATGAAGACGGTGCGTCTGCGTCTCGCACAGGCCGAGAAGCTGCTCGAGGACCAAAGGTGAGTGGGCCGCAACATATCCGGGAAGAAAGTGAAAGGCGAGAGTCATAAGCTGACAGGCGGGCGATCTGCCGTGGCGAGGTGCTTGGGCGGAGGCCCAGTTCGTGAAATCAGGCAGGGAGAGCAGCTCAGTGGGAGTGCAGAGATGTTGCTAAATATTGCTTGTGTCGAAGTGCAATTTAACGTTTTTATATCCGGCTGTCCTTAACTTGAATTTAACTCATTTAATATGCCAAATTATTTCGATTTTCTGTGTAAAATATTACTATATATTTAGATACCGGGGGAATAGATAAATATAGTAATTTTTACTGATCTTGTAGTAAAACGTAGGAATAACCGAAAGGAAGGGATCTAATAGGATCCAATAAAATACGGAGGATATAGAAACCTTTGCCAAAACTTTGACTTTTTGTTAATTATATAAAAACTCACTTTTTTTGTATAACTGTCAAAAATCTTGACTAGATCCCAATTTTTATGGGATTACATTAAAATATTTAAACATTTTCTAAAATCTTCATCGACTGATTTATTATACTCATATATTAACAAACGTTTGTGGTTTCATCTTAAATTTATATAAATAATCATTTCTTGCCATTAGTTTTTGTCTCATTCCGGTCTGTGACTCTTTTTTTTATCGTATAAATTGCAGTTTTTCCACTTTGTCACTCGCTCAATTGCCGCAACAATTTCTCAATTCATCCATTCAGCTTTTATCTGCGAGCAGGCCAAGGCCCCCATTTGTGATAAGTCTTGAACGTTATTTCCATAGTTTTGCCACATTACTTCCTTAGCTAGCGGCCGGACAAGCCTTTTAGCTTATCAACCAAGAATGTTTATCAAATTGTTGTGCGGCAAAACAAACACACTATCATAGTACATTCAAAACAAAGTTTAGCCGATTGTTTTTAAGAAATTCTCAGCATTATGTTATCTCATAAATGGATATCATTAACCTCTCATTGTATACATTTGAAACAAGACTTCTGCTAATTGATTTCGATTTATGAATTCATTTCTGTCAATTAATTTAAAATCGATACATGTCTGTCATTTTACTGATTTAACTCCCAAAGACAATCACGTTATCGTTTTTTCTTTATGACTGTAATTACTTTTAGGGGTTTCCAAGCTTTTCAAAAGAGATAATGACCCTTTGTTCCTGGAAAGTAGATAGAGGATTGTGAAGATTATATTTCTGACTACTAGTAGCTACTTCCCAGCCATTTCTGACATGGTCTTTGTTATCGCCGGAACTGCGTTATAATAAGTAGGTGATTAAAACAGAGAATTCCGATTAGAAATTAAAAAAATAATCTAGTAGGGCGCCATTACAACTTGTCAAAGAATTTATACTAAAGTCTAGTGCTATGAATTTTCTGATTTATCAGTTATAAGCTTCTGATATCTTTTCAAACGGCTGCGTTGCTCGTTGCCTTACTTTAGACCCCAAGAAAAGTTACTTACGGAAAGTCAAACATTCTCAAGTATCAATTTCAAAGTATTTGCTTTTGGCTGAGCGAAAAACACTTTTCTCCTTCAGAGCAAATCCTTTGGCAATACAATCGAAATCAAATCCTTTTCAGGCATTTCCCAAATGCCGCAAACAAAAGTTTCATTTACATAATTTCCCATTTAAAATGTAAGCTGGCCAACAAAGGCAAAAATCGATAAAATTAGTGTATAGAAATCTCTTCGGCTAAGCAAACCAGCAAAAGTAAACAAAAAACGAAAATGTATTTGATTGATGTGAGGGTCCTGGCTTTGTGGTCCCCCCCTGTCCAACCCTCTTGTGGTTTCGATTACATTTGGAGCCGCTATGTAAGGACATCGGGAATATGTATTAGATCCGGCTTTTGTGTTGGCTCAGTTGTGTCAATGTTATGCAAAAGATTCCCAAAAACAAATTTCAATCAATGAGAGCGAAACTGACATTTGTGCACAGATTTCAGTTCAATAAATAAACGAATCGAATTGATGGAGATAAAATTGCCGAGTGGAAAATGTCATTTGAGGCATTCTTTGCCGGGCTAACAAATGCCAAAAAGAAATGTTTGATGTCATTTAATGGATATTTACTGCTTACTGGCGCTGAGCTGGTTCGCGTCGCCTCCTTTCCCCCCAACGGGTCCGATTTGTGGTTCCGGTACCACAAGACAGAAAACAATTAACACACTAAATCATGAACCGAACGTAGTTTGTTTAGACTCTAGCAGTCTGCCACCCGGAAGTTAAGCCAGTAAATTACCAGACACTTCAAGTAGAGCTTGCGGAATTTCTCTTTTGGCCTGGTCTGTATTTTTGTTTGGTTTAGGCCATGTATTCCCTATGATTTTAGTTGATTTTTTAAAATTATATTGGGTCTGGGTAATACAAAACATAAAAACTGGAATATCAATACTAATATAGAAACAAAGCCTATGCATTCTTTTGATTTTTCTTATCAAAATAATTTAAAATTAACCTGGTTTTCTCCATCAAATGGCTAATGAAACTTCAGCCTTTAAATTTAATAACTCTTTGCTTAACCATTACTTGTTTTATGGCTCCATTTATACCCTCTTACTTCCATGAATACCTTCTTAAATTAGCTTTGCTCTTAAGGTTTCGTCTGGCACTCACTCAATTGTTAGTTTACCACTTTGCGGGCTGCAGTAAAAATTCTTTCACACTCTATTAACGCATGCCTGGCCCCGCTATCCCCCCAGTGAAATGCATCAAAATTCCGGAAATGTTGACCAGCACTTGGATTTATGTTTTCTGCGGCCAACATAATCCCAGGCACCTCGCCGCTGCTCACTTAGCCCCAATTTGGGTCAGTGCGCGCATTGTGGGGCAAAAAGCCATGCTCGGTGAGTCACTCACTCACTCACTCACTAAGCGGCCGCTAACTTGGCTTCTAATTGTCGATTTGCTTTGGCTTTTCCTCTGGGCTGGGTGTGCCCAGAAGTTTTTGGAAAACTAGACGAGCTGGCCGAACCTTTCGCCTCATCATCATCGCGTATACGCCACGATGGACGGGCTCTTATATTTAATGCCGAATGGCCATTTTATTTATAAATCACACATTATTTTTATGCCATTTTTCATAGACTTTTTCCCGCTCTCCGTGTGCGGCGATAAGGAAGGGAATGTGTTTAATGAAATGAATTACGAAATAGGGGAGTTGGTTTTTTTGTTGTACTCTTCTGATTCCGAGTTTTATTTCCAAATTTATTATTATTTCTTTCTGGGAATTGATTGGTAAAATGTCAAATGATAATGGAATATTATATGGCGTAGCAAAGAGCTTTGTTTTTATTTTATGACAAATACATTTAATTTATAATTTTAGCTGAGTAATTTATATTGTCTTTTGCAAAAGATTTATATAGGGATTCAATTAGACTACTTGTATTTGCTGAAAAGCCTCCTCAGTTAGTTTTCCATTCAATTTTCCAGACTGGGGTTTTTGCGGCCGCTAACTTTGAGCCGTTTTTGGCATCAAGTAGATTAAAATTTGCGAAAATTGAAAGCGCCCGCAGGCCGCACAAAGCGCAGGCCCTCTGGGCGGAATTCCTCCTAGAGAGAGAGGAGCATCCAGTGGCGGCTAAAAGAGCCGAAAGAACCACAGAAACCACAAAGAGTTTGGGCCCCAGTCAGTTTTAGTTGGCTTATAATGAGCAAAGTGGCCATTAACTCGAAAACTTTTGTGAGCTGCGTTTTAAAGAGGCACAGAGACAAACAGGCAGCGGGAGCGGGAGGCCGTTAGAAGCCGCTAGATGTCAAGACCCCGCAGTTTTGAGCTGTTGTAAAGCTTGGTTCTTGGAAGCCTATTGCACCATAGACCTCATTCTGGGCCGTTTAACATTGTTGTTAGCGCTTTGAACTTTTGACTTGACAGTTTTGACAACAAAGCTAGCACCCAGAAGGCGACGCGGGGCGACGAAAGCGAGCGATCGTGAGTTCACTGAACGTTCGAGTAGCATAATTTTCATGCTCTCTGTGCGGGTGTCTCTTTTTTACACTTTTAAGGGGTATTTCCATAAAGTGGATATCCTTGTGTGCCTTAAGGGAAATGGAGAATTTAGAGATTGATGTTAAAGTTAAGTTTTAAGTTTGTTTAACATTTTTGCTTCAGGAACTTAGATAAATTATATTGGGAAACTAGAATAATAGGATATTTTTTGGTAACTTACAGTTTCAGAAATATTATACAAAAAATATCTTTGACAAAATGGTTTTGTATCTCTTTTATCTTTGTAACTACCGTATTAGTTCGTTAAAAAGATTTATAAATAAATAAAAATACAAAATTTAGCACAAAGACTTATTCCACTTAAGCATCTGTAGTAAAGCCAGCTTATGCCAAATTTGACCGACATTTTTGTAGTCAATCATCAACAGGGAGAGTATTGGGTCTCTGGCTATTTATACTATTTTTTGTGCCCCAAACTTTGTCTCCTATTGCATTCGCAAAAACTGAAACTCGTTTCGTTGGTGGCTAAGCCAAAACCTTTTTCTTTGCTTTTGGTGTTTGTTGGTTTGCTGTTTCTGTTGCTGTTGTTGTTTTGGTACGTGTAGAGATCGCCGGCGTAAATGGGTGAAAAGCAGCAATAAAAATTGTCGGTACAACGCGGAGCTAGGAGCGAGCGACCAGAGACCCCGGAGTAGACCCGACCAGAAACTTGACTATGACAAACTCTCGTGGCCGGCAGTGAAAGTGATTGATTTTTTTTTTAGCTACTTCTCCTCAACATGTACTGGAAATTTCGCTTTTTTTTCGGTGTTTGGGCGTACAAATAATTTCTAAAATCGTAGCTAGTGCTGGGTTTGCCTGGTTTTATTGCTGGATTTTTGTAGCTTACTTATTTTTCCTCTTTATGGTGGAAGTTGATGAGGCGTCGGATGATGATAATAATGGCAAATAATGATAAGTATAGAAATTTGGCCAGAAACCAGTTAAGCCAGTTGGCGCAAGCTGCATGAATAATAATATTCGAATAGTTGTGGAA